GCTGTCAGTGAAACTGAGGATTTATTAAAAATAGATTTTGCTATGATTTATCTTTTTTTACAATGGTTTTCTATCGCATTCCCTGTATTTCCAATGACGCACATTTGTAAAATGACTCACCCAGTTTAGAGGTATGAAATGTAAGCGGCAGGAACCTAGTTGGTCCTCATAGGTAGAATCCTGACCCCATTAGCCTCATTCTACAAGCAGCTAAGCTAATGGGTCACATTAAAATAAGGAACAATGTAATAGCTGTCAGAGAAAGATGGATTTTAGGCAATAAATACATTCTACTCTGCTCCAAGGCTAAATATTACACCTGGCTCCCTTTGGAATTCCTTAGGAAATAAGAGATTTGCTGCCAGAGCAGTGAATGAGAGTCACACACTAGCTTGTACTTCATCCAAGGTCACCTTCACTCCCCAGAGCGCCTAAGCAACAGCTTGAGCCTCTCCTAATCCAATCTAAATTAAATGGTAAAGATAGCTTTTCAGCTTTCCAGTCTGCCCATGCTCTGTGAATGGTGCTGGATTTCCTTATAAAACAAGGTTGACCTGCCAACTCGCATAGGAGAGGCACTGAAGGGGAGAGAAATCGAGGAAAGGGAGAGGGCCAAATAGTCGACTGCAAGATCAGCAATGTGAGAAAGCTTTTGGAGAGTGCTTAAAACCAAACAGCCCTGTCTCTGTACCCTGTTTTGTAACAATAGTCTATCTATTTTACAAGATTCTCACATCAAATATCATAGACCCTGAAATTAGTTTCACCAAAAGAAAATCTGACATATTGTGAAGCAGGGCAATTTTGAAGAAGTTAAGATTTAAAATGTGATATAAAGATAGAAAGTGATACTCAAAAGATGTTCTATAACTAATATCTACAGGATTCTTTATATTATATAAAGTGCTGTATATACATTATCTTAAAGCTCATCTAGTCTTTATAACATAAACAAGGTATTCCTATTTCTCCCTTTATAAGCTAGATTATATCCAATATTTTGAATAATAAAAGCCTTTATTAATTTGCTTGCTAGGGCTGCCATAATAAAAATATGACAGATTAGGTGGCCTGACCAATAGAAATGTTTTTCTCATGGATCTGGAAGCTAAAAATTTATGATCAATGTGTTGGCAAGTTTGGTTTTTCCTGCGGCCTCTCTGCTGGGCTTGCGAACAGCCTCTTTCCAGCTGTGTCCTCACATGGCTGTTTCTGTACCATTCATATCTGGTGTCTCTGCGCCCACATTTCTTAAAAGGAAACCGGCCATGTTGGGTTAGAGCACATCCTGATAGCCTCATCTTAACCTCGTCTCCTCTGGAAAGGCTCTCCTTCTAAGTCCTATCACAGTTTGAAGTGTTGGGGGTGAGGGTTTCAACATATGAATTTCGCGGAAATACAATTTTGAAAGACAGAGACCAATAAAAAGGTGCTGGGTTCTTGTGTGTAATTGTATTTCCTATCATACGAAATTAATAATATTTATAATAAGCAGTGTTTAGCCATTACTTAGATCCACATTCTCAGCCAGGTCAAAAGAAAGCTTTACTCCAGTTTTCAAGACATATTTCTTGACTCTGCCACTGAAAGCTGATGATTTTTATAAACACAGTTACAGTGAAAAGGCAAACTAAATAAAAATTCAACCCCGGTGTGTCTGGTCTTGATTGGTGCTTGAATCCTAACACCTCTGGTTAATGAATCTTGATCTATCTTTTAAATCTTAATAGAGATATATATTGAGTTTCTACAGGTGACTGGTTCAAGGTGAAGACAATATAATATTTTTATAACACATGGCTCATGTTTTTAAACAATCTAATAGGATATAGTAGAATCAGAACTTCACTCATATAGATTAAATAGAAAAAAATGAATGGCAATAGAAGGTCAGAGATAGGATGGCTCATCAAGAGAGAGTCATGAGGTAAGGCTTCAAGAAGACTTCATTGTGCCCTTGGAATGGTCAGAATAGAAGAAAGAGTACAATGAGGGGAAATACATGAATTAAGTATGGCCTGTGTGATGGTCAGCGAGAAGACCAGCTTTCCTGGGAGCAGCGTGTCTGTGAAGGACAGGTGGTGGTCAAGCCAGAGGGGTAACCTGTGGCCAATGGAAACAGGATCTTTGTAAAACTTGGCCCACGTGGATTTGACACAACAGACACCATCACAGCAGATCAGTGATTTTCAACCAGGGAGCCACAAGAGTTTTTAAAATAGACAGCACATGACTCTTTCATCAGGGTCACTGATCTCTTTGCCCTTAGATTGTCAAATACAAAAATGACAACTGCCAGCACAACAACAGCCACCTGGTATATGAATGAATGAATCAAAACTACACCTACTTTTTTGTCAAGTTGGCAAAAATATAGTATATTTTGGGGTGTGCTGAAAAATTTTAGTAATTAGCTTACGTGTGCCATGAGGCGAAAAAGGTTGAAAGTCACTCTGATCATGGCACAGATGAGATTTAACATGAGCGAAGTGTGTTTTAAAGTGACCTGAGCCATCATTGAGAAATGAAGAAGCTGAGCAGAGGCAGTGAAAAGGAGCGAGGGACTACTGCCATGACTAATAAATGTAATGACAAAGCCTGAAACGTCATGAACAGAAAAGACAAAAGGAAGAGATGACAAGAATTATCAAAAGACATGCTTTCCGGTTCTGAGAAGCAAGAGGAGAGCCACAGAACTGTTAGCTTAGATGATTGGAAGAGTGATGGTCCTCCCGAGGTAATCAGGAGGAGCTGGAAATCAGAATTGATCTGTGAGAAGGCCAGGACTCCAGGTCTGTTTTGTCCACACAGAGCTTGAGGTAATAGTGAGGTATTTGAGTGAGCACAGATGATAGATGATTGGAAATACATGTGTAAAAAGGTCAGACCCAGAGATTGGGATTTGGACAATGTTCCTATCAGATAACTAAACTTATTTTATCTACTCATCAGAAAAAAATATAGAGATGCCCCAGGGTTTACAGTCATTGTCCAAGAGGCATACTCTTCAGTGGTGTGTGTTTTTTGGAGAGAAACAGCCTAGACTCAGCCTAACAAATCGTTCACCTGTGCTCCAAACAACCTCATGCTTTCTTCCAAAGATGCAAGTTCCACCCAAGCCAGAATCACTGGCAGACTCATCCTCTGACTTACAGTCCTGTTAACAGTGACCATTATAAAGGATGTGGGAAGTGGAAGGTGGCTTCTGTGTTTTAGCAATAGTCTTCATCTGAAGGAAAGAAAGACAAAACGATGTCTAGAAGAGTAGACACTTCACTGCAAATGAGAAAGGGGTCCTGACATCTACTGTGAATTAATCTTGCCCAAGACTAACTCATCTCTTTCCTCCTTCAACTCTTCTGCCTAACCTTGTCAAGCTGCCTCTGGATGGAACAAAGGCTTCTTTTTAGCTGGACACAAATTTAGGTTACCTGCAATGAATCATGTCAGAAAGCATTCTGACATCCTTCTTGGTTCTTCTGGACAAGACCATAATGATGCCATTCCACAAAGCAGGCCTAAGCCTTCCCATACAAAGACATAAACCTGCCCAGGGAGTGAAAGGGCCTCCAGGGCTTTTTCAAGCACTTCTAAAGGCCAGCAACTTGAGACAGACTTGAGAGTGGGCAGAAAACGAAAAGAAATCCAAGTAACACATAAACAGTGTGAGTAGTGAGACGGGGACCGGCAGGAGGGCAGAGCACACTGTGATGTGACTCCAACAGCAAGACAGGCGATGGCCAATGTGAAGTACAAAGGTCTGAGCAGGTAACAGGGACCCTGGTTTAAGATCTTGGTTTCAAGCACAGCACTTTGTAAACCAGAGGTCATCAAAAGTAAGGCAACATCCCAAGGGCAGCAGCCCAGCGAGGGGATCAGCAGAGGTTCAGAAATGGGGCAATGAGGTAGCAGATCCCTTTTGAGGATGTGGGAACAGGCAGGGGTCTGGTCTCAAGCCAACGAGTTCAGTGATTCAGTTACGTAATTAAAAATGAGTGTGAAGGGGCAGGGCAGCATGGCTTACGTGACTAATGAATTAATTTACTGGTCGAGATAAAATGCCTAAAAGAGTAAGACAAAGAGATCAGTTCTGTAACATTTTATTAACCATCCAGTCCCTTTCCAGTAATCTTTTTCTTTTAAAAAATGTTTCAGTTGTAGTTTATGTTCAATATTATTTTGTGCTAGTTTCAGGTGCACAGCACAGTGATTAGACAGTCATATACTTTACCGAGCACCCCCTGACATTTCCAGTACCCAGCTGGCACCATACACAGTTATTAGGATACTATGGACTGTATTCCCTGCACTGTATCTTACATCCCCACGACTATTTTGTAACTACCGATCTGAGCTTCCCAGTCCCTTCACATTTTCCCCAACCCCTCTCCCCTCTGAAAACCATCAGTCTGTTCGCTGTATTTGTGAGTCTGGTTTTATTCCATCCATCATTTCCTTTAAACAAGAAATCATATCATCTATTTAGCCTCGCCCCTTTTAATTCTGACTATATTTTCAGGAAGTCATTCCTAACTAAATTTTTGTAAATAGTCTCCAGAGAAAGGGAGGCAGGTTGCTGGCTGAGCACCAGACTGAATCTCTCCCTTAGGAGGGAGCACATCACTTTTACTTGTCTCAGCCTCTTAAGCACAGATATCCGTACTGTGCTTTTGTTTCTCACCCATTAAGTTCTGGATTATCAGGGCAATGCCAACTCCCGTGCAGATGCATACAAACTATTAATAGATTATGTCTATAGTAAACCTGAAGTAGAAAACAGAAGTGTTCCCAAAAAAGAGAAGTATAAAATAGAAGAGGAGGAAAGATGCAGTTAGATGATGATCTTCGTGAAAGGACATACTTCAAAAGAAATAGAAAATCTTTGCGGCAGTCTGAAGTACCTAACTTTGAATTTGTTTGGCTATTGTATCCTGCTGATCAATAAAGAAGAAAGAATATGTCATATTGAATTAAATTTTTAAAACCTTTTCTCTGCTCAGAACCAGCTCCTCCAAAATCACTCTTTGCAGTGAATAAAACCCAGACGTCGGTGACTTTACTGTGGGTGGAAGAGGGAGTAGCTGATTTCTTCGAAGTCTTCTGTCAACAAATGGGCTCCGGCCAGGAAAGGAAGCTCCAGGTACTGTAGACATTGGTTTTCTTTTACTGAGTTAATTTTGATGAGGGCTGATTATCTGAGCAAAATAAAAATCTTTAATGTCTTTGAACTATAGAAATGAAAGCTGTTCATTTATGCTTTTGTGTTTCAGTGATAGAAATTACCAATATGCTTAGAAGAAGCTGAAAATATATGATGAGAACCAACTTGCTAAATTGCAGAAGTTTATTTTCATCTTTGTGTTTATCTTTCATCCATAAACCTGAGCCACTCTGGTTCACGGTGAAGAATTAAAGTGGTTAATTTTTCCTGTTGGACATTAAGTTAATTGAGGGGATGAAGACACTGTCATATAAAACATCATTTAGCAAGTACAAGCCGGTTGCCAGTTTTGTGAGAGTCGCTGTATGGAACACAATTGGTAGAATTAATATTTATCTTCACAAATTTTTTTCACACAGTTGTTGCTATTTCATTAGTCTAGAAATCATTGCAGTAAGCCAAGTGCCACAGGAGAGGTCCAGAGTACTAAGGAAACTTAAAGGAAGCGTCCATATGCAGTTAGTAAGGGGGACAATTTCACTGGGGAAATGAAGGCTGAGAGGTGACTGGTAGGGCTTTAGAATCACGGATCGCAGAGGTGATGGCACTGCCCACCAGGTCAGAACGAGGGGAAGGAAGGGCGTGTGCCAGTGGCTGTCAGGGCAACAAAGCCACAAGAGAAAAACTATTTTACAGTCAGACATAGAAGGAAAAGCGTGTATTTGTGAGGGATATTAACAACACACCGTGTAGAGACGAGAACCATAAAACATGAATAACTGATGCTTTTTAAATAATAAAGTCCATGAGATTGAGAAGATTAAAGGATTTCTGGGAGTACAAAGCTTTTCATACTGACTGTTCAGATAATTTGCTTTATTCCTTGCCCTTTTTTTTATATTCCCTTCTATTAACTTAACTCTTTTTGATCTGTACTGAACAGCTGAATCCTTCTTCAATGCCAAGAATCCTTTTAAAAATAACTGCTCTGCCAGTGGTAGATTTTTTCCCCCTGCAGCTGCAAAGAAAACGATGGTGCTACTGACTATAATGGAGTCTTGTTAGCAAAAGCCTTTCCATAGAAGCATCCCTTTACAGGCTCAGGAGAGATAGGAGTGGGGAGTGAGTGCTGATGCCCTCCCTGCCTCGAGGCGTTGATGCTTCAGAAACTTATTTTGAGAGATTGTTCACTTGCCCCCCTTTTTATATCGTACAATAGTACTCATCACTAGCCTGACTATTGGCTCACTGCATTAACAACCTGTTCTACATGTAATGGGTTCATATGAAGTGTTTTTGATGATGCAAAGCCACTGTGCCTCTGGTGGATGTCATTTAAAAACAGAGAATATAGATAAAAATGATAGTGTCCTCGATATACAAAGAACTACTGCGAATAAAGAAAAGATGGAGACCAACAACTCAGAACAAATAATTTATATGAAGTAGACACAAAAGGCTCTTAAACATATGAAAAGGTGAATGACAGGCAACATGAAATTACAATGTGATTCAAACCCACTAATAAGATTGCAAAAGCTCAGAGAATTTGCCGCCATGCTGTGTTAGAAGTAGTGTTGGGAAACAGTGTTCTCAAACATGGATAGTCAGTGGATAACTTGAAAATGTCTATGAAGGATACTTTGTCAATAACTTTCAAAATTAAAAATACACGACTTTTGACCCAGCAGTTTAACGGCTAGGAATGTGAACACACACGACACTGTGTTTGTGGACACCTACTTATGTCCCCTAATTGCGGCATTACATTCACTGTAACGTTGTTTATAACTCTTTCGTTTGCTGCTCTCCTTTTCCAGCTTTTAAATTTTTCACTCTGTCTCTACATTACCAACTCAACTATGAAAAACTTAAGACTCAAAATGGGAGATTACATGACGTTCATTTTCTTGTCTGCATCTCCAGGACCCGATCTCTGTTTCTTCTCACGTCGTGACTATCTCCAGCCTCCTCCCGGCCACCACCTACAACTGCAGCGTCACCAGCATCAGCCACGACAGCCCCAGCGTCCCAGTGTTCATAGCTGTCTCCACAATGGGTAACCGCATGCCTTGGCGGGGTCTGCTGTTTCTGAAAGTTACATCTTTCAAATTGTTCCTATATTTTCTTTTAAAGTAAATATAATCTATCCTTTTAATGGAACCCGTATTTTTTCTGTTGAAGAATTCCAAGCTTTGAGGTCCGGGAGTGCTTAACTTCAATCCTTGTGTGGCTTAGAGGGAGATGTTTACTATTTCCAACCCCTTTTTTTTCCATCTGTGAAACTAGAATTATAATTTGTACCTTATTGAGTTGTTTTGAGGCTTAGAAATAAAGGGCATAAAACCCTGGCACATGCTGTCTAAAAGCTACTTGTTACCAATTTCATCATCCTCTTCATTAGTAGCCGCAGTGCCCTAATTAACTGTGGTTCATCTATTTCAGCCTTGGCCCTTAGCTAAAACGCAATGGCAAGCCTCAATTATTGAATCAAAGCAGCAAAATTTCTAATCAAGCAGACACCATGAGTGGGGAAATTTAAAAATAATGAAAGATCTAGGATAATGTAGTTTTCTTACTCTTTTTCTGAGTTATATGTTTTATTCTCCCGTATGTCAGAGTCTGACCCTACAATCTCAGATCTCCTACAAAACTACCTGTAATAAAATCATGCTTATTATCACATAGCCCTTCACTGGGTCTGTTTTCATTTCTGTAACATTTGTCATATCTTTAGCCACTGTATCCAATGATGAATAGCGTGGGCTTTTTTTATTTGTGTTTAGGTTTTTAAATTCTTTTTCAGAAGAGAGGACAACAATAGATCTAATTGGTCTATCATATTAATGGTCTCTCATTTTTTAAATCTTTTTGCACTCTACTTAGTATAATAGAATGTTCATTATTTCTTGTCATCTGTATAGCAAACCAGTGAAGCAGTTGATACTATTAAACTTATTTACAAATGAGGAAAATGAGGCCAAGAGAGACAGATAAAATAGCCTCCTCAAATGGCAGTTAGTAGGCACGTAAACTTGAACAAGCTCTTCTGACCTTGAGTCTGATGGTTTTTTTTGCTCAAGTATTCTGCCCATGAACTGGGGCCTCATCGTCCCAAATGGGAAGTGGTGATACCCAGAGACTGAAGGATTGTGTATGTCAGCCATGATTGTATGAACAGTACAGAGGATATTATCACTCTTCTCTCCTTCTCTGGTCCACTGTTCAGAGTGTTAATAACACAGTTGACCTAGAATCCCACCATTAATATTCTGCTCTTCCACGAAGTGTGAAGAACTAAGCCATGTGTAAGTGCCATGGCAGACCAATTATCACATGAAGTATATGAGAGGGACACAGCCCCTGTTCTGAAGGGCCCTACAATTTATTAATATGTTTAATCTCTTGAGTTGTACAGATGGAAACCTCTCAGCATATGGCTACAGATTATCAGTGCCTGCTTCTAGCAATGTGTTAAGTGCTGTAGCAGATGGTAGCTTGCTAATGCCTTTTTCATATACATTATTAGTTGTGAGCGAAATAGACAGTTGTGCTTTCTGCCTTTAAGCTCATGGGCATAAAATAAGAACTTGCAAGCTTCTGAAAGTGTAAAAAAAATGAGAATACACGATAATGACTTCTGGATTGTTTTTTGGTTATCAAATGAATTTAAACCATGTCACAGGAATTATTCACAGTTAATCATTTCCCTCTATAAGAACATCCAGAATGTAGGCCTTAAAGAAATTTATCAGTCTAGTAACTTAGAGTTGACCAGGAGGAGGACATTGTCAGCTTGGAGAAGCATCACTGTTGCCATTATTGTCATCGTAAGTCCATTGCTCTTAAAATCAGATGGACAACAGTGAATGGTTCTGTTCATTTCCATGCCGTGGGAGCTGTGACTAAAGAGTATGGCTCATCTGTTCAGTTACAGAGATGAATCCCAACGTGGTAGTCATCTCGGTGCTGGCCATCCTCAGCACACTGCTGATTGGGCTGCTGCTGGTCACCCTGATCATCCTCAGGAAAAAGCACCTGCAGATGGCTAGGTGAGTTGGGTTTGGTTAATCTTACCCACAGCCTTTAAAATATTCTATTTATCATGCACGTGTGTTTTTGCAGACCTCGGTTTTACAGCAATAAGTGTCTACCTGTATTTCATGTTTCCTAAGAAGACTTCTGGTATTATTTTAGAAATCACTACCATTGAATGGTAAAGCAAAAGATTATTGGTTTACACAAAGTAAGACTTTTTAACTGTGGATCTTGTAATTTTAGGTATCCTATACATTACATTTCAATAATTTCAAAGTTGTTTTGGAGTAAAAGAAAAAATCTATATCTACTGAGTATGATTAATAAAAGAAGTTAATATATGTGGAGACCACAATAAAAGAATTCCCTCCCCTTATTTCTCATGAGGAAGTATTTATAGAGTTTATGAGTAGGCCTGTAGAGATTCCTCTACCATTTTTCTTTATGTCATTCAGAGTGGCAGGCAATTTCATCATTATTGCTGTTAGAAAGGTCTTTTGATTTATGGTTTTGAGGATTTTCTATTCTTTTGACCACTGATGCATTTCTTATTGGAGAACATTGTCAAGAACCTTCTGTGGTCCCCTATATTATACAAACAATGATCAATTCTCTAAAAGAAAAGAAACTACTCAACTAAGTAGTTACTTAGTTGAGTACTACGGGGTTTAGGAAATTTGATTCAAGTGTATATTTGCCCACTGACTTGTCATCGATAAAGCATCCTTCTCCTTTGTCGAAGTTCTGTCAGTTACCTATTCATACATAAATGGACCCATCCAATAACTATTATATGATGTGCCTACATGGCATAGTCAAAGAAAAATCAGACACCCAAGCTGTCCACTCAGAACCTAGCTGAAGAGATGTACATAAATAAATACATTTAAAGGTGCCAACTGACTTGTGCCAGGAAGGAAATAAAAATGGGATAACATGAAAGTAAAGAAAAGAGATTAGTCAAGAACATAAACGTCAAGTGCCTTAATGCTGGCATTAGAACGAATCTTAGAAGGATCGGGAGGGCAGTGCTATAGCACTGTAGTTAGAATATAAAGTTCTGAAATCATGCTGCTTGGGGCAAACCCTGATTTATAACCTGTGTGTTCTGTGTATTCTACCGAAACTTCACTCACTCCTTTAACAAATATCAGAGGACACCTTTTATGTGTCAGACTCTTCCAGGTGCTTGGAACATGACAGTATACAAAACAGACCAAAACTTCTGCCTCCATGCAGCTTGTATTCTAATAGAAAAGATAGCCAATAAATAATAAAGATAAAAGTTAGGAGGTTATACGGTGTGTTAGCAGACAGTACTAGAAACACAACAAAGCAGGTTAAGAGAGATTGGCAGTGCCTGTGTGGGAAGTGTGGGGAGAGGAGCTCTGAGAGGTAGGTCGGTCTCGCTGAAAAGGTGACACTTGAGAAAAGACTTGAACATGAAGGAGTTGGCCACATGGCATCTGGGGAAAGAGTGTGCCCAGTAGAGGGCACAACCAAGGCAAAGGCCCCGAAGGGGTAGGAGCATGACTAGCAGGTTCAGAATAGCTGGAGGTGAGTGGCTAATGCAGAGAAGTGAATGAAGGAGTGCTGGCAGGAGCTGTCCGGTCACACAGGGTTTCCTACACCATGGTAAGGACTTGGGCTCTAACTTAAATAAATAGGCAGCCATCGCAGAGTTTGTGCAAAAGATTAAAAATATCTGACTTACATTGCAACATTTTTGTTCTGATTTTTATATAAAACAAGCTATAATGAGATGAGGACCAAGGCAGGCATGTGACCTGGCGGGGCCACAACAGTAATCCAGGCAAGACAAAGATGGCAGTGGTTCGGTCCAGAGTGGCAGCAGTGGTGGGGAGGGAAAAATGATCAGGTTCCAGATAAATTTTGAAAAAAGAGGCAACAGGATTTGCTAACAAGTTGCATGTTGAACGGATATGAATGAGAGTCAAAGATGACTCCAAGGTTTTCAGCCCCAGTGACCAAAAGATGGAACTGCCACGTACTAAAACGGGATTGCAGGTGAAAGGGTTTCAGAGTTGGCGGAACAGCAACTCTTCAGTTTGGGAACTGACCGAAGCGGTGCAGCTGGCTGGGCATCATCCTGTAAAGCGAAAGGTCACTGATTTGATTCCAGGTCAGGGCGCATACCTGGGTTGCAGTTTGGGGTCAGGGTGGCTCGGTGGAGGGTGGGTATGAGATTCAACCGATTCATATTTCTCTCTCACGACAATGTTTTTCTCCCTTCCTCTCTCCCTCTCTTCCTTTCTCTCTGAAATAAATAAATAAATTCATACATACATAAACAAAAATTTTTTAAAAACAGAAATCATATGTTAAAAAAGACTTTAGTTTTAGAAATTTTATGTCTGAGATGACTCCAAGTACAGGTGGGGAGAGGCAGTTGATCATAAAAATCTGGTGTTCAGGAAAAAGTCTGGATTGAAGATATGAATTTGGGAGTTCTTAGCATATAAATGATATTAAAGCTGTAGAGGGGATGAAATCCAGGAAGTGCAAATTACAGAACACAGCCCTAGATTAATCCCAGGTAGCAGCAAGAAAAAGTGAGAAAATTAAGATTTTCCTGGAGGAATAAAGGTAGCAGCAAGAGACTGACAAGAGACCTCCTGTGCAATGGAAGGAGAACGAAGAGTGAGGTAGCCTGGAGGCCAGGGAAAGAACATATAGCAAAAGGCAATCATGACACCTACGTCAGTGGGTAGTGAGGAGCAATCAAGCAGTAATGCCAGGACATAATACTCAACTCATAGGGAGTGTGCAATCCCTGTTAGCCTGTAATAGTAACAGTGGTGGGGGCGGTGATGCAGCAATGAAAGAAGTGCCATTTATGAGGGTGTTATTGCAGGTGCATCCTCAAGGTTGCACACTGCGTAATGTTTCAGAGGCGTGGCTCTGATCCAGCCCGCTGGTTGTTAGGGCACAGATTGGTGACACCTCGTGCCATGATGCCCGGCAGTCTGGTGAAGCCTGCGGCCCTCCTCCGAGAACAGGGCTTTCTTTTCAAGTGTGTAAAATAAAATACACAGGATCGATGCAAACGATTAGGTTAAAGCATGGTCATCAAAGTATTTAAAAGAACAAATGTGATGTATGCTTTTTTGTTAATACATTAGATCACAATATTTAGTAGGTGTCTAGTAATTCTCCTATTTCACCAGAGTGATAAACGTGAACAATACCTGCAGCAAGTCTTTAAAAAAATATCTGCAATATCTATTGTTAGCAAATCTCACAAGTACTGGTAATATTGTGACTTATTACCTACTGTATTAATTAAAGGAAGTGCTAAATTTCAGTGAGAGATTAGGAAAATAAAGACGCACTTTTTCCTCGAGTATGTTCATAAAGCCCTAAATTCTATCCTTGAACCCCAATTTAAGGACCCTTGAACTGGAAGGTAAAAACTATCCTTCTAGTTTAAATGTAAATAAATTCCCATATATTATAGAAAATTAACATAGGCAAATCAATTGGGGATATGTAATTTAAGATACAATATGATATAATAATATATTTGCATATTTTTCAAAAAAATAAAACTATTCTCAGACCATCTAATAAGAACAGGGAGATAACATTTTGCCAATGTCAACGTCACTGCTGCAAGTCTAAATAAGTCCATGAGTTTCATGTAGAGGGAAAATGAGGTGTATGAGCCCCAGTGAGCTAGGTCATTCATGCATGATATTAAGCAAAAGATGGCGAAGGCATGAGAATATGTGTACTTTTTAACTCCAATTCTAGAAAAAATATTAACCATATTTTCTGCTGAGAGATTAATAAGCAATTTTCTGGGTAACAGGCTCTGCACAGCCTCTTCCACCTCCTCTCAAGTGATGAAAGCTATGGGTGTCCCAACTGGAGGGAGAATTTTGCCAGAAGATAACAGTATAGCTTGATCCATCACCATTACAGAGAGGAAACCAGTACACTACACAAAATAAAACCCCATCAAGAATATTCTCTAAAAAAACCCTTCATTTTTTTAGGATATTTGCTATAACTTACCTTGTAAAACATATTAAATCCCAAACAGTTAAAGATTTATTTAAGATTCTGAGTGCCCTTTGGAAAGCATTGTGAACTGAAATGTTTGGGCCTCAGATTATTTGCTATAGAGACATGCAACCTTGTGAAAAACTGTTTTGTTTGATCTTTCTATTTTGTATTTTATGCAATAGAAAAACCCATCGAATTTATTTTAACTTTTAGAAAAATGCCATGATGATAAGCAGGTAAAACCTCTTATGTCAAGGTGAAAGAGTGTGTCTCCATTAAGCAGTAACCTTGATTTTGCGATTCCTTTCACACAGGGAGTGTGGCGCAGGGACTTTTGTCAATTTTGCGTCCTTGGAGAGGGATGGAAAGCTCCCGTACAACTGGTGAGTGTTCTTTCGGAACAAGCCTCTAGACAACCTAGGTATGCTGTGTGTCCTGCAAACTTTATTTTAGTCTTTGGGGGATAAATGGTTTTGTCGGATTATTCTTTCAAAATGTCTTTGACAAGGAATTCCAAAGGTTAGATCTTCACAGAGTATATTGATATATGCTAGTTTAATGCAATTATGCATTAAATGTCAAGCCTGCCCTGTACTTACTGTGTTAAACAAAGGACTAAATCATCAGTTCTGCAAGTAGCCCATGACCATGAACAAGAAGGGCTTCAGTGCAGGAGCCACCCTGAACACAAGGTGGCTGAAGGCAGGTCAAGGTTCCCCATGGACGCAGCACGAGACAGAACAGAGTCTCAACTTAAAACTCGCATTTCAGTCCCTGGGGACATAAGTCACCCGTTCTGTTCATGAATCAAGTAGAATTACACAGCCCAGGGCCCTCAGCTCCTACGCTTACGGGTAAATAAATATCAAAGCCAATAAATAAATAAATAAATATCAAAGCCAGGAAAGTCCCATGGGAAAACATGGCATCATTTTTTTCTTTATCCTCGGATATTAAGGATGTAGAGGGAGGAGGTACTTTGAGAATTCAGAAAGCATTGTCAGGAGATTAAATTGGTTGACATTGTATTTAATAGTCATATGTGGGAATTAACAGTGCATTGCAGTGAGTAGCCAGCGAGACTGCCAATTAAGTAACCATTTCCTATGAAGCTGACACTGCTACATGATCTAGTCTGACTTTGATGCAAGCAACCGGGCAAAGTGCCTTTAAATACACATATTTCGTATTAATTCTTAGTAAGTCATATTTTTTCTGTTTTTACTAATGCCCCAAAATGGTTAACCTTGAAGAAATAGGTTATCTCTTTCTTCAAGACGGGACATTTTATTCTACAGAATCAATGAGGCAGGGAGGACTTTACTGAAAATATGAATTCCACCTCCCTGAGTTGGCACCTATGTACCTAATGCCCACTCTAGTTGAAAGTCGACTTGAAACAGGATTCTTTTGTGCTGTTTTTAAATTTTAGCCTGAATGGAATTTTGCTATTCAGATACCACTGACCCAACTGTGAAGAGAGATGAACCTGTAAACCCTTGATGATGAAAAGTTAGGAAACATTTCTAGGTTTCAAGTATCTTAGCTCTGCTAAAGTATTAGCACTGCTCAACTATATTAACACAGTTTTGAAGAGTAAGAGACTAATTCATTGATATTTGTTTATCAATGAACAAATTTACCTGGCCCACCCTTAAAGAAGGCCCAGTCACACAGCAGCAATAAGTGGTCCATGAAGGAAATGATTCGGTTATACTTGTGACTCGGGAGAGCTATGTATGGCCTGCACACCCAATCACAACTTATAGAATATGGGCCACCCATTAAGAAGAACTGAGGCAAAAGAGAATTCACTTCAGGATCTTCCCATAAAATCAAGAAAATCCTCATGCAACGCTTGGCAGACAGACTTGCCAGCACCAGCCTTTTCTGGCTGACCAAGAATAGATGTCTCAGTGGAGATTCGTGGTAGCTAAAGTGACAAGGTGACAGCATTTCCCCCCATTTCTCAGAATAACTGTAGATGCCACCGTAAGATGCTTTAAAATATGTATTAATGAATATTCTATTATACAAGTGATTTGAGTGTCTGAAATTGGTTTCAAACCATGCATTTTTAAACCAAATGTCTGAATTAGAACTAAAGTGAAACTCAATCATGGGCTCCCACTCAGCTGAGTATTGGTTCAGATTACAGACTAGGCAACGGATGAGCTGCTTTTCTTGAATGAATGATACCTGAGTGTCATGTCATACCTCTGTGTTAAGGGTTATTGTTTAGAAATGATGTAGAAGTTAATATAAAAACAATATAGAAAGTCATAGTAATGCCCTAGAAGCACAGCTTTGTAAGAACATGTTCCGAAAGCTCAGGGTCTTCACCAGGATCGGTTTATGTAAAGTCACCATTTATATTTCCTCCCACAAGCTGCAGTTAGCTATCCGATGATGTTATACAGGCTCCTTAAAACAGGCCTAAGCACTGCAAGGGTAATATCCAAGAATAAGCCTCGAGATAACTAATGAGGCATTGAAGCACCTCATTTACCTGAATGCTAAATGTAATCACCTCATGGCGGACTAATTAGCACAAAATAAGTTGGGAAAAAATGTATCTGATTACAATAAAAGGCTGTGTGTGAATAAAGCTGATTTTGGCAATATTATAACACTTCAGCCCTCAGATTTAAATTTCATGGAATGGAATGATATTTAATAATAATTAAGGTGCTTATTTTGCTTGATTTCAGTAAGTAATGTACTGCTGTCTGTTCACAATTTATATTACTAACTCTGGCCACTTCCTCATCTTTACATCTGTTATCTATTAATGCTCGCAGGCGTAGGAGTATATTTGCTTTCTTAACCCTGCTGCCTTCATGTCTTTGGACTGATTATCTTTTGGCATTTTATATTAATCCTTGGTAAGTGATTTTCTTTTTACTGTTTACCTAACACAGTCTTGAAAACTGAGCTCTCAGGAAATAAGCAAAACAGAAAAGTTCTTTTGTGTGATGGCAGCACCCAAAATTATTAATTATACATTAAAGTGGATTAAAGCACTTAGTGGTACCAAGATGCTAACACTGGTTTCCAGTTAAATTTTCTCCTGCTGATGTTCTTGGCATGCTTTGCTCCCATTTATTACTAGTCATTTGTTTCTTCTTGAGTCTATCCATCGGCTCTCATCTTTATACATTTTGCTTTCCATTTCCTTACTGTCTCCATCCATTTCAGAGTTCCATATTGCCAAGAAAAAAGGAATATATTAAGGTAAAGAAACCCAGAGTATTATACCCTGTGTTTGGGGCCTCCAAAATTTTTAATACAAATGCTAACTCTTTAATGAATAGGGAGCAACTGACCATATTCAAGCCTCCTTCAGTAATTATTTTATATCATTGTCCCCACAACTGTGCCTAGGGTATTTTCAGTCCTTTCTAGAGATGTGGAAATAGAGTAGTAAGAAATCAACTATCTTAACATCACAGTACATAGAATATTCAGCTTCCAAACCCAGGTGCCTCTGAAGTCTATTCTTATAAAAAGCAGTCTCCTTTAAATACTTGTTTTCTTGGCTTTTGAATTTTTTTTGATAATCAAGTCTTAAAGAATATCTTTTTCAGTTTTAAAAATTATAATTTTAATCCTAATCATCTTGAATTCTGAGACTAAATAGTCTAGAAGTACTATTTCTTTCCCTTAACCATAAAAAAAGGTAGCGTTTTCCCAGAGAACTGACAAAAATCATCATCTTTAAACTATGTGCAAACAGATGGGTCTAGAAATGTGGACAACTTGAGAAGGACTCAGAAAAAAGAAAATTTAAAAAGTTCATGGACTGAGAAAAAAATGGCCTATGCTTGAGGCAGAAGAAGGGAAAATGGAAAGCAATGGGAGACTTATTTATCCAAAAGGACAATTGATCAAATGTTCTCCAGCTCCTGTGAGGACAAAATAAATACAGCTGGAAAGGTTTAGAGCTTTAAGTTTCAGTGAAAGAAATATGAAAAAGGGACTTCCTCAAACACAGATTGTTAATGCCAGAATTTGTATTTTCTTTAAAGAGAGAGAGAGAAACAAGAGAGACTTGAGACAAACTTTTGAAAGCGGGCAGACACCAGTGCGTAAGTAATGAAGTCAGAGGACGCACCAGGTGACGAGGACCCGTCCAAGGTCACCCTGTTTGTTTTCAGTGCAGTTTTCAGCAAGGGCTTCTTCACCAGAGTCAACACAGTGTTTTTAAGCATTTAACATCCAATAGCTCTCAGGTGTGAGAAATGCACATAAATTCTTCAAAATATAAGTTTACTTTTAACTCAACATCTAATCACCTTTGAGTATTCTACCTACCATTAGAATACTTTTTTTTAAAGCTTTTATTTATCTTTAGAGTGGAAGGAGAGAGGGAGAGAAACATCAATGTATGGTTGCCTTTAGAATGAATACTTTTAATAAATACCTTCAAGGTACCCTTCACAGATTTCAACTGAACTAAAAGAGAGGAAATGCATATAATATTATATTTATTCCCCTACTTAATTCTCGGATTTTTCTCATTTTCCACCAGTCATTTTAAGCTTCATCAGGCGGGCCTATGGTTATTTGCATATCTTCTTTAACAGACCTCTCTGGTGAATACAAGATCAAATTTCAGCAATCCCTTCAAGGTTCACTATTTACAGCACTCATCAAATAACAGGAGACCCACCTTAGGGGTCCAAACCCTGCAGTGCTGTTCAGAACTGTCCTGAAGTGGTAAAGAGCTATCTCCAGGCGAGAAGGGAAGGCAGAATACAGAGCCCCATGCTTTCTGTCACTTTCAGTAAACTACGCACATGTCGACCAGTGAAAACATACAGGAAAAAAGTCGTAATCTCAGCCCTAGGCTCGTGCCATGTGAACATAAAATAAGTAAAATTCATGGTCCCTGCTCCTAGCCTACCTCAGTGCTCAGCAAGCCGCCCAAACCCCCGGGTTGCTACTTGTCTTCTACTGACTCACCTACCCCCTCCAGTTCACAGACTCCTCAGGTCCTTCCCTGAACTGTCACCTTCACAAAAAGATACGTTGCTCTTGATTTTCTAGGTTCCTCCCAGCATCTCTAGTGGTTCGCGTGGAAATCTGTTTTGTTTCTCACAGTGTTGCTCAAATCTCGTCCCAAGATTGTAGAAGAACCAGCGCAGAACGCCAGTGCTCCGTTGGCCTAGTCTCCGGATTGTTTTCTGCCAGGATTTCTGGCTTTAATGATCTCCGATTGTTTTTCCTGTTCAAGGCTCCAATGCCATCACTCTCCTTTCTCTTACTACCATATGCTCCTGCCTATTCTCAATTGTCAACAGGTGACCTTATAAGCATGAAGCAACCTTGACTTTAAAACGCTCAGCTTTACTCATGGTTATTGCTTGTCTATTGAGAGAATGCTATAGCCCTAAAGACCTTTCTTTAGGAGTTGGGGATGATCTCCATTTAGCTCATGAGAAAGTAAGTAGTGCTCATGGAATTAGGGATGACTAGAATTTGGGGGCTGTCATTGGTTTTGTTTTTAACTCTCATAACTCCCATGTCTCTGCCATTGCTTCCTATCTTTCTTTGCACTGAATTCCAGTCTGAATTCCAATCTGGGTGGCTTTCTAAGACTGTCATACCATGAAGAACTTACAAAGAATGCATCTCAGCTTCTTGAAATCATTAGGGATTTGAACCTGCCATAATACAAACAAAAGGGCAAACAATTTTAAATGGGTGATCCTATGTGCATGTATAATGTATAATGGATGATTGTTATTTATCAGTTATTCAGAAAATCTATTGCATGACAAGAATTTACCCTATGCATCATCCCAAATGTTCACTGCAACATGCACGCACGCACCCTAGCTTTTTTTCACAATATGCTAACATTAATATTGTTAGCAAAGCCTTCAATCACATGTTTACAAGTGAATTTCCCTGGATTTTAGTCTTAGAATTAACACAGCAATTACAAATGTAGGGAAAATTATATCCGTCTTGCTGTGGAGTCTCATAATCCAGTCTTGTCATGTCCCCTGGCCATGGGGCACCTATAGGAATCCAACAGAATCTAGCCATAACAATGAAAGTTGTATACAAATCAGGAAAACATACACTTAAGGATGATAAGAGTATGACAGAGAGTCATATGCAACCTGTGGCAAAATTTCGTATTGGTTTAAGTTCATTCGGCCAGTGAATGAGATCAGGAGGAAAACGAGTGTGCCTGGCCCAGGAATGGGTTTCTGCACAGACGTCCGATAGTAGCAGCTCAGTGCTTCGGCGCTGCATTTATTCAGTGTCACTTCCCACACAGATTTGTTTCTTCCCAGTTTCCCTTCAGGTCTGTCTCGATAGAAAGGGTTTCTTCCTTTAAAAAAAATTCACTAAAAATACAGATTGTATTCACACAGAATACGTTGGCAGCCTTCTGACTTTGCCGGAGCTGTCATCTCTGCTGACATTCTGCTTTCCTAAAGGGCTTCAGTAGTTGGCTCCTGCTACATGAAGTAACTGTGGGATCCCTAAAGTCCACTCATTGCAAGGGCCGAGGACAAAATTATTCAAGAGGTGTTTCTTCAGATTCCCAAATGCTTCTAGGACACAGCTCTGTCTCATATTACAGCAGGGCTTTCTGAGGGGGTAAGGGAAAGGCAAAGTAAAAACTGGAATATTTATTCCACTTAAACCTCAAGGATAGAAGACAAAGAGGGGGTGAAGGAAAAACAACAGGACAGGACCGTTGGAATGGACTGTCTTCACGCATAATTGGGAAGAAATAAAAACCACTTGAGACCAGAAACACTCCTTGCCTTCTGGGTACTTCTCTACATTTTCTGTCCTGTTTTACTTTCTCTCCATCCACAAGCCCCATTTCCCCACTGCGACCTCAGGAAGCCCAAGTCCAGTATCAGATTCTTAATTGAATCATTCGGTAAAATGGTCCCGGTGACACAGCAAAGATGTCTGTTTCAACTCAGTTGAGTGAGCATTTACTAACCACCCATTACATGTTCCATGAACTGTGCTCAGCTCTGCGGGGAGGGGCGGTCTAGCAGTCAGACAGACTGACAGGTTGACGGTCAGACAACGTGAGAAAACCTTCATGAGTAAAGCGCTGTGAAGGCCCAGAGGAAGTGGCGCTTTATTCTGCTGAAGGCTTTCTGGAAATGCAGGTATCCGAACACTCAGACTTCTCATTAGGAAGAAATAGTCTGGCCCAGGAGAGCACTCAAATCACACCTGGCTTTGTACTGCAGATTGTTTATTTTCTGAAGGTTTGGGTGCTTCCATCCATTTGTAAAGACCTTTGAAAATTATTCATAAAAAAAGTATCATTCACAATCATTTGCAACATTTATTGTTTATATAAGACATTAAGATACGATACTGAAGTGTTTCAGCCGATTCTCTCTTGGCGTTAAGTTAGTTATCTTACTTGTAGGTTAAAAACTGTGACCCTAAATATACCTTTAGAAATATAATTAGCTGATGCATACCTTAGCATCACATGTAGTTGAGCTTACAAACTAGTAATGAGTTAAGAACAAACAAGTAATAGGTTCAACTTTTCAGTAGCTTAAACACTGGTTTAAAACTGAATATGAATGTGCCTTTGTAGAATTATGTGAGACACAGGCCAACCCTGATAGCACAGAGTCACAGCAAAAATGTCCAGAGAAGCTATTTCAGTCTTTAAGAGACCGGCATATCCCCTCCCCCATGATCTCTCACTTTTATTCCCTGATTCTACACTTCTTGCCTCAGAGCTGGGAGCACTCAGGCAGTCAATACTTGTATATATTTACGAAATACTTCAGCAACCTAATCACCACTAGCAAAATATTATATATTTCCAGAATTCCGGTTTTGGCAACTATTAAACATAAATGTAGGTATATTCCTGCAATCTAATAGAGTTTTAAAAAATGAATCTGAAGTTATTATTTTCTGATTTAAGGAAAAGTAATTAAATAGACCTGACCTATGTTTAGTAAAAATTAAAGGATTATAGGTCCCTGATGTAATTATTTAAAACATTTCAAGTTTAATCATCATGTAAATTTTTGTCCAGATAAATTTGTGTTGTTTTTTTAATTTTCAGGAGTAAAAATGGTTTAAAGAAGAGAAAACTGACTAAGTAAGTGTTTTTGTTATGGAGATATAATTGATAATTAACACCGTGCAAGTTTAAGGTGCACAACACACTGACCTGGTACATTTCCACTCTGCATTATGGTTCCCACCGCTGCGTTAGCTAGTGCCTCCCTCGTGACACGGTTACCACTGTCCACTTGTGGTGAGCACATTTAAGGACCAGTCTCCCAGCAGTTTGGAAGTATATAATACAGTAAGATGTTCTTACTACTTGATTTTAAAATATTTAATTTTAAAATGGTCTTCATAATGGTAACTTCACAAATCGAAGAGATTGCTTGTTCAAATAGAAGAGATGCTTAAGAAAGAGGCTAGGAGCATTGGAGACCTTCCTCCCAGGCATATGTCCTCACTCTGGCTCAAATAAACTCTTCTAAAATTGTGTTTGAAAAAGAAAGGAAGAAGCAAATGCATATTCAAACAGCTGAGCTATTACGTGTTGGTGTGTTTACACATATGGATGGCCATGACTGCTAAGAAAGTATGTCCCAGAAACCATGTCAGGGATAAAAAATATATCAACATATGAAATCTGAGAGGGAATGGGTTGTTAGGAATTATAAGTCTTTCAGAAGAAAGCCTGTTACTCTAAATCTATAAAAAATTTAATGTATGGCCACATCAAAATTGTATGAAAACTTTTGCCATTTTGTATTTCGAAGTCCTGTGCTTATTGCAGAGAAAGGCTTTTACTACGTTTGAAGCTATAGTAAATGCTTTGAGAGATGCTGCCTCAGGAAATCTTCATAATAAATAGAAAAAGAAAATTGTTCTTGCTGGCCTGCAGTTTCCCTTATCTACTGAACTGTTAAGTCTTAAGAATTAAGATTCCGATGGATGAAATTAACCATCAGTTGATTTCAAAAACCTAATTAGATTATCACCTCCAGGCCTTTAGTTAACTGTGCATATTAAGAGGGTAAAGTCCCTACAAATAGAGTTCATCCCTGACACTTGCCTAGGATAGAATGTTAGGGAATTAACAGGAGGCGCTTAGGAGTTCCAGCCAGATTAATGGCACCCATGCCAATGGGAGAAGGTCAGGGACTATGTAATACAAAAGAAAAGTCAATGCAAAAATATTTCTGTTTAGCCCTGAATGACATAATATGGTGGCACATATAAGTAACAGACTTATTTTTCCCTAAATCTATTTCGAATCAGTGTCATTATATATGTCATTCTCCCATTGACATATATAAGTGATGCAAGGGAGACAAGACCAGCCTAAAGAGAGAAGAGGTACCAGCACCTGGAAGGAATGATTTGACAGGAAGAAAAACACTCTGTTGCCCAAATTATTGGTTGGGTCAAGTGGGGTAGAGAGGCATAGACTAGATTAATTAGAGGACAAGGTCTTGGGACCGAAAGTTGAGACTCTGTTAGGGCTTGTTTCTCCCAAGACACAGGCAGAGAGGAGAAAGGGAAGCAGGATGTGGATAGAAGTTTGGGTTGAGTTTAGGAGTGGGGGAAACCGCCCACAGACCAAAACGTTGCATCAAACCAGCTTCCTCATTCCCTCTTCTCATTTTGCCTCTCATCCCATCTCCTTCTCTAGAAGTCATGTGTTGAGGGGCTTTCTTCCCCCTCCCTCACCTTTCTATTCATTTTCTTTTTACCTTTGCTCTTTCACTCCAAATGCCCCCCACCACCATGTGCCCTTGGCCCCCCTTTCCCATGTCCACTCATCTTCGTTCCACCACTTCTTCCCTTCACTTTGTCTTTCCCCCTTCCCTCTAAATCTCTGTCCTGCTGAGCTCTGTCCCCTCCAGGTGCTTGTTTTCTCCTCCTTACCATCTTCTTCCTCTCCCTGATGTTCACATTTCTATTTCCCTGAGGTTCTTCCTCTGTATCTCTTTTCCCTTTTCTTTCTGCATTTGCTTTTTCTAACCCATAAACATTTTCTCTAGCTGGCTGTCTCTATTGATCCTCCTGGGTTTAGCCACTTTGGGGAAGGAGGGAAAGTTTGAAGGGGAAAAGCTTTTAAGCAGGAACCATTCTCCCTGGCTAACACGCAGGGTGCTATGGCGTGGCAGCCATGTGATCATGGACGGCTCGCCTGATTCTCGTAGCCTTGACTGTCTGCTGGAGCATGGGGTAATGTTGGCCATGTCGACCTCAGCCACCAATAGAGCAAGGTAACAAGTGGAAATATTTCAGATCTATAGTGTTGTATGTATATAAGTCATTAATGTTATTAAGGAAAAGCATCCAAGTTTAAATGTATTATCTGGAAGGTATAATGCCCTTTAACATCTACTAAAATCTTAAAATAAATGAACTGTCAGATTAGCTGCTCAACAACTTTAAACAAGTAACTACTAGGCACTGTGTATTTGCTATGAGGACATAAGGCCACATGTAGATGACATGAGCTGAGCAACGTGGAACAAAACTGAATGAGGGCCAGCTGTGTGGACCCAGATGAGTGGAAAGGCTTGAGTCAGGTGACAGGGTACAGCATGCCGCAGAAGCTTAGGGAGCAGATTGGCGCTGGTAGATTCTAGAAAAGGTAAGCAGCTACTGAAAACTATAGGAAATAAAACATAATCCTTACTTAAAAAAACAAACAAGAAAGGAGGTAAGAACATTTTCTACAGAGGCAGAAACCTATGCTCAGGTGTCTTACTTGATTGTATCCCTGAACCTGCCCCTGTCTGTGTGGGTGTGCAAGCCCCCAGGCGGGGATCTCTTGGAAGGAGACCCCGGGAGCAGTCTGTGGATACGATGAGCTCCACCCACAGTCCTGCCTCGGTTCCCGGACACAGTGTAACTACAGCACAATTCCTTATTGGTAAAGCTTGTTTGCACTTGAAAGTTCTATAATATACTGTGTGTAACCTTGGGAGTTGGTATGATAGTAGTACTTTGTAGATGAGAATGCTGAATCTTGGAAGAGTTGGGTACGTTCTACAAGGTCACACAGTAAATAAAGTAAAACCATAACTCAAACAGCCCTTCAGAGTCTAATCCTTTGTTCTCTCCCGTAAACTCTTCCCAGAGTTTTCTAGAAACAGCACACTTGCGTGTGTGGGTATGCACATATATAATGTTTTACTGCTAGAGTAAGAGTCGACTGAAGATCTAGAGGTCTCTCCTATCTCAAGGAAGTTTAATACAGTGGTTCCCTTTTTTAATTACAATATATTAGGCCTGGTAACTTTAACAAAAAAAAAAAAAGTGAGCGCTAAACTTTGAGAAGCAAAACTTCTATTTTATCCAAGAAAATTGTTCGTATTTGAGAAGTACAGTGTTCATCAAAACCTATCAATAGGATTTTTAAAACATACGTTTTTTTGTGTTTGACAAAGCCCGGTTCAACTGGATGACTTCGACGCCTACCTCAGGGACATGGCCAAAGACTCTGACTATAAATTTTCTCTTCAGTTTGAGGTGAGTGAATAAAGCAGATCCTGCCCTCTGTGGCAGACGAGACAGGACACGAGAAGGGGCGAGTCTGGGTTGGGGTCGCCTCCCGGCTCACTGCGCAGCACGTGGGACAAGGCCACAGGCGGAGCCGAGTGGCAGCTGGGCTCAGGGGTGTCTGATCTGCTGGTTCAGAGACAGGATGCTCACCCCTAATTGCAGAACAAGGTCTGGGCTTGGGGGGCAGAAATAAAGGAAAAAAGATTCAGGTACTGGGGTGAACAGACACAGTTAGGGGAGAAGCCACCATCGAAAATCAAGGTGACCGAGACTGCAGGGGGACCTGAAACAGAACTTCACCTTCAGGGGATTTCTAGTGCTTCTCATGCCACGTCGGCCACAGCACACGGTCGATGGAATGGACTCGTTGGTCCTCTGGGCACATAGGAGCCTATAGTGGGGCCCTGAGGCCTATAGGATTTCTGGTATTCTCATTAGTATTTCTTTGTGATTTTCCTTGAGGAAATTGGGGGAAGGGAGTTAAACGTAGTTTGTGCAGAAGAAAAAAAGGCAAACCCCTTTTTCTGAAGCACACGCATTGTGCCGGGTCCCAGACCTTGCGTCAGAGTGGATGGGCGTGTGGAAGCCTGGGCCTCAGCCGTGTGGGGACCATTACTGGTCCTTAAGTTTTCTTCCCACATGACGCACAGCACGTAAGACAGTCTGGATGGCGCACATCCTTCAGGTCGCTACAGGGCAGTCGGTGACTCAGGGAACCTGGGGAAAGGGGAAGGTGAAGTGACTTTTCCAAACACTGCCAATTTTTTTAAGGCACCAAAGGTGCTTTTTTCCTGTGAAATACCAGGTTGTAGAAGGTAGCTTTCTCCTCATTATACATATTTACTCCTTCATTCTGCCCATCAGCCAAGGACAGCTTTGGTCTGCAAAAAGTAGCAGGAGTCCTGGTGTGAAGATTCTAACAGGGAAGTTAAGGGTGAAAAGAGCCGTATGTGTCCCCAGAGACAAAGCCCCTCACGGCCGCCTGCGTCATGAGCTATCCCACACAGAGCCTGGCTCAGGTAGCCACTGCACGCAGGTGCCCGAGAAACCGCGCAGGCTACACCAAACGCTGTATCTCAAAGAGCAGCCATTTGATTTGAACTGGAAATACATTGAGGATGGCATTTCACAAAAGTGTGCCATGGAAAGAGGAGATTTTTATAAGTAACCATAAGCCAAAGCTCAGGAAAAGTGAATATCCAGATAATTCTGATAATGGTGATGAAAATTGTGATATAGGCACACTTTTGACCTCATTGAAGCCACGGCCCCTTCATTTCTGCAAGAATATATGATTTTGGTGATAGGGCTAAATCGCTGCCTTTGCTGGGAGGTGTAACTATTACTGTGTGTCTGAATTGCCTGACTATAAAATCATTCAGAATCATGTTTTGGTAAAAAGAAAAGATTATTTGAGTTGTCGGTGACGGAAACAAAATTCAAGCTAGTTTAGACCACAGAGGAAGGAGGTTTGTTCAAAGGATACTTACTGCGGTGTCATGCATTCAAAGGGGAGGATGAGCAGCTAAACCAGGAGGGGGGCAAGGAAGCAGCCCTGTCACGAGAACGACGGGGAGGATGCGCCACACCCCTGAAGAGACCTTCTCTTTTTATTGCTCATTTCTGCTTCTCTGTCTTAGCTTCACTTCACTGTAAACCAGCCTCTCCCTCGGTGGAAAACATGACCACCAACAACCCCTGGGTCAGAGCCTATAGTTTCCACAGTTTCCGAAGGGAACTACGGACTCTCCTTCTTGTTCATAGTTTGAAAAATAACAGGGGAGAATCCCAATTGGCTGGTCTGGGCCATACCATCCACTGAAACCAACCACAGGTGCCGGGGGTGGGGGAGCACGGGGGTGGGGGTGGGGCAGAACCACAGCTCTTACTGGAAGCATGAAGCTAAATCAAAGGAGAGCCTTATTTTCAAAGTGAAGGCCCCGGATAACCAAACCACATGGGATTAGAGCCTAGATGCAAACACTGCAAAAACGTGAAAAAGTTGAATGGTAATCGTATGTGCTAAATGCTCGATTTATAATATGCTGAGAGATTTTACACACTTAATGTTAAAGTAAGCACATCTAGGCTTATTTCATAGGATTTATAAAGGAGGTAGGAATGTACTAAGCTGGGAATTCAGACGCCTGGGTCCTCACTACCATATCACCACTAATTAATATTGAAAAAAATCAAAATTTTCATCACCTCAGTTTCTTCATCTATAAAATGGTAGGTTGCACTGAGTCAGTGGTTCTCAATGGGGTCAGTACCGGGCAGTGCCCTAGGTGGGTTCGGGATGCGCTGGAGCGGTTTTGGTCGTTGCGATGGCTTGGGAACAGGCTGCTAGTGGTATTTAGTGGGGAGGAGGACAGGCCTAACAAAGCGTTGTCTCAAGGCAGTGTGCTCCACTGAGAACACTGGGCTAAATGAAGGACAAGGACACTTCCCAGCTTTATAACTCGTGTGTGTTAGTCAGGATTCTCCAGAGAAATGGAATCAGCAAGATACAGGTAGGTAGGTAGATAGGTAATAGATAGATAGATAGATAGATAGATAGATAGATAGATAGATGATAGGATTTAGAGAAAGCAAGATGGAGAGATTTATTTTAAGGAACTGGCTCACGTGACTGCCAGAGCTGGCAGGTCTGAAATTCCCAGGACAGGCTGGGGACCCAGGGAAGAGGTGACCTTCCCACTCGAGTCTGCGACCTGGAAGCAGAATTCCTTCCTCCTCCGGGGACTTCAGTCTTCCCTCTTGAGACCTTCAATAGACTGGCTGAGGCCCACCCCCATTTTGGAAGGTAATCTGCTTTCTCAGAGTCTACTGATTAAAACGTTAATCATGTCTAAAAAAATGATGTACAACAACTACACTTGATGTCTGCACAGGCCACTCGGCACCGCAGCCCAGCTCAGATCATTTGCTTTGGACCAACATGTGCTCAAGCAGTGACCCACTGATCTGACTCACTTCCTTTTTCATTTGAAAGCCTTCCAGATACTGCCAGTTCCCAGCCTCCCCCTCCCCTCAGGTTCAGTGTCAGGGGGTCCTCATCAACTGTGAAAGAGGCACTGTGCTCCTCTACCTGATTTCAGGGCGCATGTCAGAACGTCCACACGGCAGACCTCAAACTTTCCTGAAGTTGATAATTGAGGCTCAAGAGAGAAAGAAATGGTTTCTTTCTGTAATGGAAACTCAAGAGGATATTAAATGGCGCAGTCAGCTGGTCTAGCTAAGTCCAATAGCTGAATGGTTATCTGTTCTGTTGATATTAATGCTGGACGGTTGTATTCATTTTGACTCTGGCACTGAAAGCTCACACTCATACCGAGAAATTTCACCATTTATAAGCACAGTGCAAATTGAAACTAATGTCTGGATTTACATATATTACCAATACATTTATCATTTGTTCGTGAAGCTGTACCAGTAGCAAATTTGCATTCACTGAATAAATTTCCCTTTCACCCTGCATCTGATTTTGAATCACTAAAAAGACTGATTATTCTTCTAACAAAAATATACATCTTTTCCTAAGGAGGTTGGAGACCCAGGGGTCAGATTCAGTTTTGCATTTCTTATGTCTCTTTTGGAAAAGGTTCTGAAGAGCCAGACTCAGAGCTTGAAGTTTGCGAGCTCATGAGACATACTACACATCACTCGTTCTGCCACTGTTTTCTGTGTTCTGTGTTGGATCGAGACACTCATGAATGCCTCGCCACCCTTGTTCAGAAATGTGAACAAAACTACATTACTTTCCACACAGTCTACAAGAGATGACCTCTGTTTTCTGAGAGTAGCTGCCATTTGCACCGTTTTTACTTGTGTTTCAGTCCAGGTCACTAGGGACCTGCCTGCCCTCCTGTTGAAAAAAGTCACCTTGAACCCTCTCCAGCAGTATTCACACTGGAGGTCTAACATTGATCTCGGACCCGAGTTTTCTTTCCTCTCATGATTTCCTAGGTTTGGTCTCTGTTTCCAAATCCCTGTACCAGTAATTTGTCTAGTGATCAGAGTGCTGTCCCTAGGTCCCATCCTAGAGCCCAGGGCTCTGGGAGCTACTACTAGATGCTCCTGAGGTTGACTTTCTTCTTAGCCACGTTCCATCACCTGCCCAAGAGCCCTGTCACTACTGCATCCCGTTTTTCCTTTATAGTAGCTTATTCAGAAAGAGGGTCATTTGCCGAAGTCATTAGTTAAGATGAGGTCGTACTAAGGGAGGGAGGGTGTCCTTATGAAAAGGCAGCCATGTGAAGACACAGAGACCAATGGGGAGACTGCCCTGTGACAACAAAGCAGAGATTGGAGAGGAGCAGCTGCAAGCGAAGGAACCCCGAAGGCTGCCAGCAAGCCAGCAGAAGCTAGGAAGAGGCCAGGAAAATGCCCCTGCAGGTTACAAAGGGCAAATGTCCCTGCTGACCCCTTGGTCTTGGACTTCTAGCCTCAAGAACAGTGAGGCAATAAATGTCTATCGTTTTAGGCCACTCAGATGATGCTACTTTGTTATGGAAAAACTAATACAGAACCTCACTAAATATCTTGTTCTAAATCCTTTCTCCTCCCTTTGTACTAACCTGAAGTGTAACCTGACTTTGCCCAATTCCCTTGCACATCAGAGAGCTCTCCCTTCCCCGCCCCGTGACAAGCATAGAAAGAAGAGGTCAGGTGAGCACACAGTGAGATGGTGGCCACGTACAAGTCAAGTAGAACCTCAGAATGAAACCTAACCTGCCAGCACCTTGTTCCTGGACTCTCCAACCTCCAGAACTGTGAGATATAAATCTTTGTTGCTGAAGCCACCTCGGCTGCAGTATTTGGTTATGGTAGCCCCAGCAGACTAAATACAGTGCATATATTCCTGCTTTGCTTTTCAAGACCTGCGTGCTTCAAACGCAGCCACACAAGGTAGTTTTCCATTGAGCACTGGTGACTGTATTCGTTTCCCAGGGGAACTGCCATAAGAAACTACCACAATTTGGTGACTTTAAGCAACAGAAATTTATTTTGTCACAATTCTAGAGGCCAGAATTCTGAAATCAAAGTGTTAGCAGGGTCGAGCCCCTTCTGAAGGCCTGTCGGGGAGAATCTCCCAGCTCTGGTGGCCCCAGGCCTTTTGCAGCTTGCAGCTGCCTAACTCACATCCGTGCCTCCCCCTCTATATATGGGCCTCCCTCCTCTTCCCTTTCAGAAGAACACTTGCCATTAGATTTAGGACCTGGATAATTTCTAAAAATGGTCTCATTTCATGATTCTGAACTTTATTACATCTGCAAAACCCCTTTTTCCAAATAAGGCCACATTCAGAGGTTCTGGAGGATACAATATAGGTTTGGGGAGACCACCATTCATATGGATGACTATGTGGCCTAGAAAAAAAAACCCACAATGACAAATTATATTGGAGACAAAACTGGCAAGAGAAAAATAAAAATCATTTATGTTGGTTTCAGGCCATGCCCTCATACTTGGACTTTCTGAAGATTTAAGCCCCTGGAGATTCCATATGGTTAGAAAGAAAGTAACTGCAAAGCTACTGAACCGGAAACTTTGTGTTCGATTTTCCACTTAGTGACAGGCCAAATTATAAAAGATTGCAAAGCACTTGGGTATACGTGGGGTTCCTGCTTTGCTGCAGTTCAGCTCTGGCAATTTACATGTGCAGCGTTCAGCCAATTAAACCTCTCTCGTCAACTCAGGGCATTTACAGCAGGGAGGCAACACAATTAAAGTTCTATCAGCTAGTCAGCTTCCATATGTGCTCCAGCTCTCTGCCGCAATCTGTTTCCACCATTTCTTTCCTATCTGAGGCCCTTTCCTGGGGCTTATCAGTCTGTCTTCAAAGCAGGGGACTTGGGGGGAGAGTTGTCAGTCTGTTAGTACAAATGGCAAAGGAGGAAGAATTATGGAGAGGCAGGCAAAGCAAAACAGACACATTTCACAACCATTATCCCTAGCGCTGAAGTAATATTTGTTGAATTTAATCATTCTGTTTGGTCGTCACTATGCAGGAGTAAGGTATGGAGAAATTATCAGCCTTATCTTACAAGTAATTAAACTGATGTTGATGAGAGTCGAACTACATTTCGAAGGCCATACAGTTTGTAAAGCGATATACCAAAATAAGCCAGATGTTTTGACAAGCTATCAATAAAGGCACTCTCTAAAGGAGGGAGATCTCCAAAATGCTTTAAACCATAGAAACATCACTTAAATAAACTTAGAGTTGCCAAAAGGAAATAACCTAACAGTGATGTAGTTGAAGTTGCTAAAACTATTTCATTTTTTACAAGAACAATATAGTCAAGCCTTTGCAAGCCCTTTAAAATGGAAAGCCAGTAAGAAAGTAAAGGCATTTGGCAAAGAAGGGTTTTGCTTACGATGGAAAAACTTCTAATTTTAGTGAATTGGGGATCAAAGTTAGCACAGTTTTCCTTTACAATGGCTTTAATTTAGGCCAAAAATCTTAAGATGTCGTGAGCTAGAAACTCGAAGTGATACAGAAGCAAAGGCAGGGAGAAATCTGGACAGTTCCGGTCAGTTCATCCCTGCTGACTGCAGGCTTATCCCCCGATGCCACTAAACACTCGCACTAAGCCACCCAGAAGCTTTTTAGGTGGAAGCTGCAAAGCTTTCAAGAACCAGATCTCAGAAGCACATGCCTTTCAGTGAGCACTGGAATCCAGACACCAAGGGCATGAAAGAGCCATCACAGTGCAATCTCTCAAAACGTCGTCCAATGTCTCCGACTTGCTGTGGAAGTCTTTCGAAGATGCAAAAACTCATCCCCCTGAGTTTTCTAATATAGTTGGTATCGATGCACTGGAGTCTATCTAGTTGGTAGGAATGATGAAGAACGAAACTCGTTTGCAATATTAACCTCCTATCTACGTAAATAAAATGTACAAGTGGCTGCTCTTCTGCCCCAACAGTCTCGCAGGAAAGTGCAGCGCTACTGTGTGGGAATAATCCCATTTTTAGATGCTTAGTCATGTTTTCCTCCAATGTGTTGAGCAGTGTAACTAGATCCCCTGCGTCGGTTGTGCCCTGTGCAAGTGCAGGGAGTAGCCTCACCGAGACCGCAGCGGGAGTGACGCCCCACGGAAATCCAGGCAGCCTGGCCACACGGCCTGGTTTCCTCGGAGACACACGACCCAGCGGCTTAGAAACCCCCTTTTCCGGTAGCTTGACCTTTTGAGGAAGGATGGTTATCAGTTTATAGAACAAATGCTCTTTTAATGCACCTTCTGATAATAGGATTTATAGAAGTACTGACACACACAGGCCCGTATCTGGATGTTCTTATTTTCACTGAGGGTTTTGCTTCCCCACTACTGATTTGTCCTTATTTCTGAGGTTTCTTTGCTATGTATTTAGTGACTGTCCATCCTGCATCTTGTTACATGCAGATACTCCTGCATTGCTTCTCGCTCTCACTTTCACTGTTTTCTCTAGGGCTCACTGCCTGAAAGAGACATACCAACATTTCCTCATAGAACAGGAAGCATGCATGTATGCTATTGCATAAATTTCAGTTACTCTGTACCTTCAAAAATCTAAAATGGATTTATTTTCAAGTTTGTTTCCAGATTGTTCACACCCTGAGTGCTGTGCCCATAACCCTTATCTTCTCCAAATGATCACTAGGCTATCCAAGGTATTTATGTATTGTATTAGTCAGCTATTACTGCAGTAATGCTGTGTAAGAAACATCAAAATATCAGTGGCCTACGACATTTATTTTTCTCACTGGCGGGCCTGTGGGGCAGCAGGGACAGTCCTGCTTCAGGCCATAGGCCAGGGTCAGGGCTGTTTCACGTGTCTCCTCTTAGGGACTAGCAGCTCCTCCGCTCATGTTCTTTTCACAGCAGATGGCAGAAGCACAAGAGGGCAAACCAGACCAAACAAGCACATTTAGAGCTTCTTTTTGGATATGAGTTCTACACAAGTTCATTGGCTAAAGCAAGTAGACAAGAGTGGGGTGGAGAAGTACGCTCTATCCCAAAAAGGAGCAACATACTGTGACGAAGGGGATGTGATGATTCTGTTATAGGCTGGGGGTGAGTGAAGGATGGTCCAGGGTGAACAATAATCCAATCCACACTATGTATGGAAATCTCAGATGTTTTCTCTGTCACTTACAGGAGTTGAAATTGATTGGGCTGGATATTCCGCACTTTGCTGCAGACCTTCCTCTGAACCGATGTAAAAATCGTTACACAAACATCCTGCCATGTAAGACTGTCAACAGTGCTGATCTTACTCATGTCTTTCAAAGGTTGAAGGATGATTACTGCAGATTAATGATCAGTTTCGCCAGTCTCTGGCCAGACCCAGGTGTGGTCTGGATCCTCGAGGCCGTCTCTGATCCAATTCATGCTCTGATGTCATAAGATCCTATCATACGTAGGAAGCTGTAACTATTATGCTTTTAAGTGAATTGCATCTTAACAGGAAAAACTGACTATTTAACCCTTTGGTAATCAAAATGTCTTAACCAAATTAGGAATAACATAAATTTTCAATCAGTTCACTGACAATAGAAGGAGGCAAATAAAAATTGAGTTTAATGTGTTACAATGCCCCCTTGTTCTAACTTTTGGCAAGTTCTGTCGTTGCTTAGCATTTTTAAAAATATTTTTTCTTTAATTATTGTTCAAGTTGCTTAGCATTTTTAAATAAAAGCAACATTCAAAGAAAAGTAATGTAACGTACTAATAAGACAATGAAACTATATCCCTACATAGATTTAACTTTCTGCTGTACTCTAGGGGGAGCTGAGAAAGAATGGAAAAGTGGAAGGAGGGAGGGTGAAAAAGCTCTAGAGAGAGACTTTTTTCCTTACTAAGGTTTCTCGATCATAGTAGGTAGCATTATCATCGGAACCCCTTACACCTGCTCACGTTTCAGAATTCGCTTTGCTCATGTGAAGTCCACTCACGACAGACCCACACAACTTCATCCTCTCTTCTAGGTTTCCCAAAGGTAGTGAGTTCTCAGATGTCCCCACATGAAGGGGAAGTCACGTAGTTAGGCTATTGCCTCCCATACAGCCTCCCAAAATTTTAGTTTCTCTAACTGTTCTGCACAATCTCCCCCAAAACATGGACCTAATTCTTCCAAGGACAGGAGAGCCGGTGGGAGAAAGTAATGATTGAGAGATATTTATGTATTTGTTTCCACAAGAAACTAAGATGGAGACATGGCTAAAATATCAAGCTACGATAAACTGCATCTATTCTATCACTATTTTGACTTGATATTGGGAAGAGAGGACCTAGACCCGCGGTTCCCAACCGTTTTTGGCCCCAGGGACTGGTTTCACGGAAGACAGTTTTTCCACAAATGGGTGGATGGTTTCAGGACGGTTCAAGTGCATCACATTCGAGCTCACCTCCTGCTGTGCTGCCTGGTTCCTAACAGGCCCGACCAGTACCGGTCTTCGGCCCGGAGGTTGGGAACCCCTATCTGAACAATTCTTCCTTCCACTGTGATTTTTAATTTTTCTTTTCTTCTTATTCTTCATAGATGACTTCAGCCGAGTAAGATTAATCTCCATGAATGAAGAGGAAGGAGCAGACTACATCAATGCCAACTACATTCCTGTCAGTAAAAAATAACAATAATAATAAAATTTGAAAAATCGGGTATTCGAATTCCAGCCCAGGCAGAGGAAAACCCTTATCCCTTATGGATACAGAAGTGTGTCAAACAGTTAAGAAGAAAGCCATTCTCCTTCTAAAGAACACCCCTGATTATTCCATTTCAGAATAAACCACTGGAAAAACAGAAGCCCAGAGAGTAGTTTGTGTTTCCTTGTGAATGACTAGTGAACAGAAAAGTAGATCAAGTTAAAGACCATTGTTCCTGTGTTTAAATATTTTTAGCAGCCAAACTCAAAGGGCTCCCCCTGAATCCCTGTGTTTCAAACAAGTCCATAAAGATAGCAGTTGTTCTCATAAAAAAAAGGGTGGCTATGATTTCATAGGCCTCCCAAGAATCACGCTTCATCACTTGGACCTGTACAGCCAGCCACTCCGGCGGCCTCTTTCACGAAAACAGAACATGTCCGGGGGTGTGTGGTCCCTTGTTGGGTTTATCCCAGGACCTTTGCAGTGTTTCCTCATTTGTGCAGAACAACATTTGATGTAAGCAGTTGTTCCCTGGCTGACAGCTGTGTCACTTACCTTTCAGGGATACAACTCGTCTCAGGAGTATATTGCCACTCAGGGGCCACTGCCTGAAACCAGAAATGACTTTTGGAAGATGGTCCTCCAACAGAAGTCCCAGATTATTGTCATGCTCACTCAGTGCAACGAGAAAAGGAGGGTAAGTGCCTCGGGGGGCTGTCCCCACTTAGCCACAGACCCACACCGGCCACCACCATGAATCGAGGGCTTACTGTGCACCAGAAACTGTTCTCACTTCATATTTCCCTTCGCAGTAACATTTATGGTGCTGCAGGCACAAGTACTTTTGTTTTCTCTAAGTGCGCACAGACTTCATCTCTTCCCCAGTGCACGTGTTTGCAACCGCTGTGCTGTTCCCACCTCAGGTGAAATGTGACCATTACTGGCCGTTCTCGGAAGAGCCCATAGCTTACGGAGACATCACGGTGGAGATGATCTCGGAGGAAGAGCAGGATGACTGGGCCTGTCGACACTTCCGGATCAGCTATGTAAGTCACCAAGCTCAAGTTCGGGTGTTGTCCCCACGCTGAGGGAACCCCCCAGGTGGGAGGAGACCAACCGGCCACTGTACAAGATCATGAGCTCTTCAGGCTTTGCAACCTGCTTGTTTCCAGAGAAAAAGTCCACCTTTAACGCATTTGGTTCCCCCTTTATCAAGAATGGTGTGGATGAATTGGCTGGCCACGGGGGCCTGAGGAGACAGGAAGGGAGGTGGCCCTGTTCTGACTCAGGTTATCCCAGGGCGACAGAAGACGCTGGGAGTCATTGCTGACTCAGTCAGGCCTGACTGAGGAGGGCCGTGTTCTCCTTACTTACACTAAATGTATCTGAGTACCATTAGGATATGCAAGGCTCACACAAAAATGTCTCTGATCCTCACCCCAGGACATGTTTATAGATTTTATAGAGAGGAAGGAAGAAAGGGAGAGAGGGAGGGAGGAAGGGAGGGGGAAGGAGAGAGAAAGAACAATCGGCTGTCTCTGATTGTACAGCCCCAACTGGGGATCAAACCTACAACATGGGTATGTGCCCTGACCGGAATCCAGGTTCGACCAGGAATCGAACCTGCAACCTTATGATTTAACAGACAACGTTCCAACTAACTGATCCACCCGGCCAAGGCGAGGCAAACTTAACTTTTAAATTAAACGCTCGAACAAAACCCAAATAGTTTGGGTTTTGTTTTGTTTGACTTTTTTTCTTATTTTGTTCTGGTTTTTGTTTATTATCATTTCAAAGGTACTTCAAGGCATTACCAGTCATAGTTTCATATCTCTTTTGAAATGCTAATGATTTCCGATGGTTAGGTTGTCGGAGAGTCTATTTCTCCCATCAGGCTTGCCACTTCTCTGAGGACAAGGCTGGTGCGTTCACAGAGCGTTCGCGTGCCAGGCCAGGCGCTGACACTGCCCACAGCTGCCCTGCTGTGGTCATCACGCAGAGAAGCCCGGGAACTAGGAGGGCACTTCTGCTTGTTCCCTCCACTGGAACATACTCACGGCTGAGAACAAAGTGTAATAGGAAAGCCCTCTGTGAACAGCTGCTGCTCAGAAACAGCCCTTCCCAACAGCCTGGGCCCAAATTGACCGCTCTCTATTCTGTAAAGCCCGTGAGCTAAGAATGAGTTTTATATTTTTAAGTGTTTAAAAAAAATCAAAAGAAGAATGGTATTTCACATGAAATACGATATGGAAATTGTATCATTCCAATGTCGGTGTCCACGGATAACATTTTACCGCAACACAGATACACGTGTGTTTACATGTTGTCTGTGGGGCCTTCTCACCATGTCAAGCTGCGGTCGTTGTGACCGAGACCGGAGGGCCTGAGAACCCTGATGTACTTACTATCTGCCCTGCACAGAAATGTTTGCTTAAGTTTCATATAGACAGTGGAACCAAAGATCATCCATTATCGGTACAACCAAAGATTGTCCATTATTAGTACAACATAGCATTCATTAATTACCCATCTGTTGATACTTACAAGCAACAAATCACTTCTTAACCACAGGCAGTTCACTTGGTTTTGGCCACACTGAGAATTCAGGCAAACCCGACACGGCTCTGACGGCCTGAGTGTCACGCTGCTCCGCCTCTTTGAAATGCTCGTCTTCTTCTCTTCCCTGAGCACATTCCTGCTCAGTTTCAACTTCATTATCATCTTTGTTAACCTTCCCGAGTCTCGGAAGACCTTTGGCTCCTTCCTCTTCTGTTCTAGTCTCATGGGTATTCTTCCATCACAGCACACCATAGATCATTACAATTCTCTGGCTTCATGTCTGCCTCCCTCGGGGAGTTTTTTAGACAAGTACCCTGTGTTAATTACCCTTGAAATCCCAACCCTCAGCCACTTAAAAAGTACTTGTGGCGTGAATAAAGCAGTGAATAGTTTCAAAAATAATAAAGTACTTGGAAAGCATCAATAGATTTCCATCAAAAATATTTGGCAATCTGAAAGCAATTTGAACTCTTGGTGATTTCAGGAGGAAAGTCACTGGGAACAGGCAAATAGAGAACAAATCTTTCCCCAGGTTTGCATCTTCAGAGCACAAAACAGGGTACATCCCATTGATGGGGCAGAATCCTGTAGATCATTGCATGGTGATCTATGTCATTTTTGTGGTTCTTGTCCTTGGTCTTAAATGGCGACCTTTCAAGGACAAGCATGTGAGGGGCTCGAAACACAGAATAAAATGTGGAATCATTTTATTGAATCTGATAAGGTGTTTATACAATAGTTATAAGCATTAGGTGCCAGAGTGCCCCCTTTTGGCCATAAACAGACATAATCTAAATTTTAAGCTCTCTAGATGAAGGTTAAATTGCCAAAGAACCTTGTGCTGTGCTGTTGAATATGTGTTTCTGTTTGTTCCATTTTTTTGTTTATACCCTTCTTTATTCCCTCTGTATTGATATCTGGAAACTTTAACTATAACAAGGTAAAATTACATAACTGAGGAAATCAGGGTAAGAGAAACTCTGGAAAGTCTAAATAGGATGTAACCAGAAGGAGGAACATGACCATGACAAAATTTGTCACTCTGCATGAACTCAGTGACAACTGGAGCCCCCCCCAAAAAATTCACAATAAGTCCTTTGTTCCCTTGAGGCACATGTGCTTTGATATTCAGCTGACAGGGATCACCCTGATATAAAGTTCTCTATCTTGCAGCTACAGAGACTGACTTAAGTATTTCCTATATTTGAAGCATCTTGAATATTTTAGCTGGATACATTTTCAGATGAACTGTAATATATATATATATATAACCTACACTGTTCAAATCTTTGTGCTAAGCCTGCCATCAGCATTTGGAAAGAATGAGCACTTCTGTGAACTGTTCTGGGCAACCCAAAGCTATCCAGTGACTGAGTACCCTTAACTCCTCATACTGTTTGCTGAGTAACTGAGTCCTTCTGCACCATTTATTATGCTTGGGTCCTTTTCTTGCCATACTCACTGCAGACAGCAGTGATGGTAGCCGGCACTGATAGAGACTTGGGTGTCTAAGAAAGAGCCCACGGTGAGGGAGGCACTGAGAACAGCTGGGGATGGATGGCCTTGGGTGCTGAGGGGACTGTGGGTCTAGCTGAAGTGCTAACATTTATAATTACATGAATCTTATTATATATTTGTTAATATAAGTCATTTATACATTTAATTATAAATACACAAATTTTACTTCATCCAAGACCACTGACTCTTTAGAATTCATTCCTCTTTTATACCTGAACCTAAACTTTAACTCCAAAGTCATAGTCAAGCCAAACTCTTCTAAATTATTATATACTATTTCATCCATAGAATGGACTCTAGGCTCTTACCAAGTGTGATGGAGGGGAGATGAATTAGACCTTTGTGAGGCCTGGGTTTGGAATAGTGATATCAAGTGCAGAATAAATCTTTATGCCTATGAATTAGCAGGGGCTATAAAGAATAAACCTTGAGGGATTCACATCCTAACTGATATTAATTCAGCACCAAGGGAACAATACGGGCTGGCAAACGTAGGTAAATAGTTGTTTGGGTGGGAAAAGACATGCAGGTTATGATGCTTACAGTGGCTTTATTAACTCAAAAGAATCCCACAGTGGCACGGTGAGCCTCTGTTTGCACACCCCTGCATAGTTGCTGGACGGGTTTGTATGAATAGAACAAACACACAAAACATACCCACCTGCCAGGATTCCCGGGACCAACCACACACCTGCCCCAAGCTGGGTTGAATGAGTGGCAGTGACGAGGCAGGAGCGGTGACGATAATAACAGCTAACAGGTACCGTCCTTCACAAACGTGAGCACACCCCATCTCCCCCACAACCCGTCACAGGTGATGCTACCTTACAACGTCTGGAAAGACCCTTATTAGATACGAAAAAATTGGTGTTGAGTTTGCCTTCAGTCAAGCCACCTAGGATCAGAGCCCAAGACTGGGACTGTTAAGTGGGTGATTTGTGTGTGTGTGTGTGTGTGTGTGTGTGTGTGTGTGTGTGTGGAAAGTCTAATCTCGGGGAAATTCTGTGAAGGAACAAGGAAAGCAGGATAGGAGAGGACAAGACAAGGAGGAAGCCAAGTCTAATGTCAGGTGGAACCCAAGGAGAGTGCTGGGGCACAAATGGCACTGTCATAGTTAGTTGTCCCACCCTGCCATAATGGGGGCCGCTTCTTGTACCCCATTATCAGTCACCGGTTACTGCAGAGTGCCCTGAGCAGGAGAACACAGGCTCTTAGGCATTTTCCAGCAAGGCGGCTCCCCTCAGTGGGGACGACTGTCAGAATGGTGCAGCTCTGTGCCGCTGACCGCAGCTGGAAAGGGGGCCCACAGGGCACCAACAACACTTTCCACCGAGTTAATTCACCGGGCAAAGCTGATGCAATTACTAAATAGCAAAAGCTGTGGTGCAAACCTTAATCTGCTTAAGTCATGGATTAGCCTATTTATCCTCCTATTCAGAGCTTTATACAGTTAGTATTTTTTTCAGGTCCTGCTTTGTGCCAGACACAACGCTCAGAGCCGGAAAGGGACGTGTACAGGCCAGGGGTGGAAGGTGGTTTTACCTTCTTACGCCGTTAGCGTGTGGGCTGCAGTGCAGGCCCCAGGCCGTTCTGACGCTGGACCGAGATATTAATGCTCCCTTTGGTTTTCTCCCCTACAGGCTGACGAGATGCAGGATGTGATGCATTTTAACTACACTGCGTGGCCTGATCACGGAGTGCCCACGGCAAATGCTGCAGAAAGTATCCTGCAGTTTGTCCACGTGGTCCGGCAGCAGGCAGCAAAGAGCAAGGGTCCCATGGTCGTGCACTGCAGGTAACGTCAGCAAATGCAGTTGATGCGCTTTTAACTTCATCAAATCCGGTTAGCACAACAGGTTTCGTTTTACAAAAAAAAAGAGCCCATCAGTCAATAAATTCCTGATCAGACTGATTTAACCATAAAAGGATTTGTGATTTTTAAAAAAATTGTGTTTAACTGAGGTCTTACTAGATATATTCTCTACTGATAGTATGGCCACCTTATATCCTATAGCCTCTAAGATACACATATTATTCCCCTTTCAAGATGAAAAAAAGACTGAGGAATAGAGGGCTTAAATGGTTCATACAAGTTCGTGCACGGACTCTAACACGGACGAGTTAGGGTTCAAATCCAGGCACACTGGTCTTCACAGCCATGCCTTTAAGCATTGTGTGATTTTACCCTGTCCTAGCAAGCACACTGCGTGGTTTATAACACGTTCAAATACAGGGACAAATTAAAAATAGCTAACCACAACCCAAAATACTATAAACAGACAGATAAGCCAGGTGAGGGAAAGGAGAAATGAGACTGTTCAGATAATTGAGACACACATAGTTGCAATGATTGCTTTTCAATATTGCCTTTAAATTGCCAGATAGTTAAAATGAAAGGGAGTATTATGACCCATTGCATTATCAAAGAATTATCAAAGAATTATCAAAGAGAGAGAGTAAGTACGTGTCTCCCTAGAAAGAAGAAAAAAATGCTGCCTAAGCTATCAAGTTCCTGGTCAGGGGGTGTACCTTAGGCATTCACAGATTAAAAACTGCTTCACCCAATGGACTTATCTAGTCTCACAAAGGTTCCTTCCAAGAACCAAAAGTAAAGTCGCCCAGCCATGTGGCCCAGCTCAGGCCTCCTTTCACTGCAGGTAGCGGTACCGTTCTGGGTGTGACTGCACAGGTGTCCACCCAGGGGAGGAGACCGCTCTACCTGAGAAGACAACCTCTGGGAGGGAAGGGTAGTCCAGTACAAACAGCAGACAGGGGCTCTGAACAGGGGCTTTCACGGTTGGATTTCTCCTCCAGCAAATTCTGCATAGACATTAGTTTTGACTTCCTCTTCTCTCACATTTCATCATAATTCCAACCACTCAGCCTGAAGAAAAGAAGAGCTGACTTTAACACGTGAACCGGGAATGGCGATCGGTCAACGCAGATCACTTCATTTCCCTGTACTCTCTCTAAGCGCTAGGGCTCGGGGGCTGTCATTGATGGGGTCCAAATGTTAAATCTGATTTTGAGACAGCCACCTAAAACGTTACTGGGAGACTGAAGCAGCTCTAGAACTCACCAGAAGGGAAGATGTGCTAGAAGGAAGGTGTGAACTCAAGCTAGGGTTGAAGGCGCACAAGTTGGTGTGGCCCCAGGGCGGGAGCTGAGGGGGGACATCTCACCTGGACTTCTGAGCTGCCTGGGAGGGCGTAGCTCTGAGGCTCCTTCACGTGGGGGAGAGAGGTGCGGCGACCTCTGTTCCCAGCAGTGGGGACGCACGGTGTGAGTAACGCGCTGTCTGAACTCTTGCAGCGCTGGTGTTGGCCGGACAGGAACGTTCATCGCCCTGGACAGGCTCTTGCAGCACATTCGGGAGCATGAGTTTGTGGACATCTTAGGGCTGGTGTCAGAAATGAGGTCGTACCGGATGTCCATGGTACAGACAGAGGTAGGAGTGCAATCAGTATGCATCTTCACACTTGCCCTTGGCTGAAAACTTCCCGTTATTCCATCTCCTATTTCAAAACAATCATCTCCATTTTTTTTTCTTCTGCATCTGCTATCCCCAGTTTTTTATTGCTCACATTCTTCACGGTATCGCATCGGCTTCTAAAACCCCATTTGGTGTACAGTGCTTGAACTTTTCTTGCTGCCATGGGCCCTTGGTAACTCAGCGCGCATGGCTATGTCTGTAATACAACAGAACCTCTTTGAACGGACCAACCGAGAGTTCAGGACAGCCAATTGGGGGAAATGCCACCCCATGGAGACTGTGGAACTGAGGTGATTGGATTTCTTTTAGAAATGTTAGATTTGATTCAAAAGTTTGTCATTAGTTTGTCCACCATGAGACTGTCCCAGTTCACTTCAGATCATGAGCCTGGGTAGGATTTACGTTTTTTGTCCCCATCATGATTTTAAGGACTTCCAGCCCCCAACCTACTAGCACCTCCTGTTCCCTCCAAACGAATCCATTTAGCACTGTAACAACGAGGCAGCATCCCTGGAAACTTCCCTCCCTCCCCGCTCCTTCATCCAAGCCGCCTCCGCCCTTGAAGCTGGGAAAGCGCTCAGGCAGGAGTGGCAGCCTGGGTGCCCGTAGACAGCACGCACGGCCTCAGAGCCACGGTGGGTGTGCACGGTGTGGGCCGCAGCACCCATGCACAACAGTGTAACCCCAGTCACCCAGCCATGCCCGCAGCTCCTCAGCTCCAGGCGCACAGTAGTCCCTGTCTTGAAGGCTCTCCGGTGAGAGGAGCAGAGTAGAACACACCCTGGCCCGATGTCTCTTCCTAAAGTTCCGGGGGACTCAGCCCTGCCTTGGTTCTTCCTCCTGCCTTTCACGGGAAGCAGCACTAGATGTCAGTGTCACTCAGAAGCCTGCATCAATGGCTGCAGTCAGTCTCCTGGCCTCCCCGGTTTCTCTTTTCAGTTTTTCTCTCCAGCCTCCCCTACACTCCCATCCGAGCAAGGCTTGGCAGAGCCCTTCAGTGTGTTTACTTCTGAGCCAAAGCAGGATCACACCACTTTGGAAAAGCAACCCCATTCACATCCAAGTGTCTCACGCACCATTAGGAAGCAAGATGTGTGTTCGTGTCCTCACTTCCTTAGCCACTTGCCTCCCAGTCTTGTAATTTATTGCCGTGGGGACACCAACCTCACCTCATTTAAAAGGCCCCAGTTTACCGGAGAAGCCCCACTACCTGATGATTAGACGGTGCTTTATGAACCGGTCCATCTTTTTGGCTTTCACATCCATAAATCAATATCCTAATATGTGATTAAAATTTCCCATCATGTATATTAATCCCATGCTTCAAAGGGCTGCTCCTTATTTTAAGTATTTTGGACTTGATATAGCATCTGCCACATTGACTTAATTTATACCTTTTATAACTTTATAGACTTTGATTATAGCCTGTTTGCTTTTGACTTTCCCAGGACAGAGTCTTAATCCGTTTTTAACTAGCAGCTTCCCGAGGCAGCTCCCGCCCCCATCCTGCTCAGCCCCAGGTCTGGCCTCCCGTGCAGGGATCACACAAAACCGGCCCAGCCTCCGCGAGCCTTTCTGCAAAGCCGAGAAAACGCTGTTTCCCTCCCAGCTTTCTTGCCCCAGACTTTGGTGGTGTGGCTCCTTTGGCAGCATTTCGGGTTGACATCTCTAGGGAAACGGCCTTGGTTAAGTATGATATCCCTCCCCTGGACGCTCGTGGGAAAATTCAAAGTCAGCAAGAGAGCCGAGGTCCCCACGGGCTTCTTATTTTTCCCTGTGTCACTCTTGACTTCCCTCGGGACTTTGCAGTGGATCTTCTCTAGTTCGAGCTATTTAGTTATGTCCGGTGCATCTCACCCGTGCACCTTTGTTCCTCCTCCTTGTCACGCTCTTCGTGATTCAACCTGTACTTTGGATGTTGGGATTTTCCTAACATCCTCCTTGAGCTCACTCACAGCGCAGGCCTGCTGCCTTCTACTTCACTGATGTTCATAAGTAAGGAGCAGAGTAAATCGTTATTTTCTTCACACCCTAGTGTGCCTCTTTGACACTCACGATTCCCCAGAGGCCAGGGCAACCCTCCAGCTGATTTCTGACTCTGTGTCCGTAAACTGCATCGACCACCCGTGTATTGTATACCGGGTCTCTTCCTACAAGGGCTTCTGACTGTCCTGTCTTCTCTCGACTTCCCCTCACCTGGATTCCACCCCTCAACTCCCTTCTACAATAGCAGAAATGGTTGAGCACATTCAGTCCTCTAGCAAAAGCAGGAGGCACAGAGCACCACTCGGAGGGAGATGCCTCCCAGAAAAAGTAAAGAGAAACAGTGGAAATAACTGATTACATTGATTATGTCCTCAGAGGCCTGTGTTGGCCATCGCAGCCTGTGGCCTGGGCTGTGTTTAATGTGTCCTCTTCCCCTTTCTCACCTCACTAGGTCCCCCCGCTCCGCCCACCCTGTTACCTGGGCTGCTACTCCACCCTCCCCACAAGAGCAGCCAAGGCTAAGGAAAGTGGGAAGGTCTGGGTCCCAGTCTGGCCACCGTGCAGCTCATCTTGCCTCTCAAAGCCCCATTCGTCACCTGTAAACTGTGAATGACAGCGTTCACGAATTGCTGCAAAGTGCACATTATGTAAAATGACAACATCTAGTTAAGTGCTTTGGAACTACAGTGCTACGTGTGGCTGGCATCCACCTCTCTGCAGGCTCTCTGCTATTTTTACTAAATGTTCCGTTTGATTTTCTCTAATAGGCTTTCCCCGGAGGTCCGTCGGGGCTTTGCTCTGAGTAGCCCCTGCTCCTGATGGGCAGTTTAGATTTCTCAGGAACTCCCAGGGCCCTGTCCATAAATATTCTTTATTTACTTATTCTATAATCTGGCTACAATTTTTTTTTGAGTCCAGGTTGACCACAGACTAGTTCTGGGTTGAGAAGCCAGGTGGTCTCAGGCCTCGTCTATGCCCAGGACCAACACAACAGGGACACAGTGGCGTGATGGGTGCTAGGAGAAAGGGTGGCTTGGTTACTGATGTGCCACTATCACAAAATTGGGGCATATATTTTCTCTAGATCTTGTTGGAAAATACAGGTGAGGCTGAGGAAGCAGCCCCACCTTAATCTTTGAAGCAGTGAAGTTCAAAGATTAACCTCCTCCTTCATGTAAAGTTGTCATACAAAAATGCTCCTTAAGATAACCCTGTGGGCGTGGCGACTGCTTCCTGTTGCAGGGCTATTTCTGATGGCATCACTTACGGAGAAAGTCTGGGGAGTGAAGGAAAAGGAGAAGGCCACCCCTCTCAGTATTTCGGCACACTGCACCCCAGCTGCCCTTCAGATGTGACTCTCACACGCTCACACTCACGCACTATGTGTCCACACACTAATTTCAAATTCGAATGATTCACTTAACGCTCTGCCATGGGAATTGCCCCAAATTGCCCCAAATTATATAAATTTCATTTTAAAGACTGAATAATGTTTCAATATAGATATACCATTGATTACTTCCACCATTCTCCTTCTTGTAGGATATTAAATTGGGTTCTTTTCCTCCCTATTTCACTATTATCTGTGCTCACAATGCCATTTCATAAGCACTTTATTATACCTCCATCAGCAATAGTTAAAAACGACTGTTTCAATAAACTCAGGTCATCGCTGTTACTTTTTCCCCTTAGCTTTGCTCACTATGTAGTGAAAAACAACTGTTCTCATTTACATTTTTCATTACTTGGCCATTTTTGCATATGTTTTAATATTTCCTGTTTCCTTCCAAAAACACTTAATAGGCTTTAGAATAAAAAAAGGCATAATCCATGCCTTCCATGGACACTTGATTTAGTGGCCAATGCATTTTATTTGTATATTTGTCAGCGTAAGTGTCTGTTACTGTTTTGGATGAATATTAGACAAAAATAAAGGTATAAACATTGTCATAATTTGTAAAATATATTCCCTCCCTGTTTCCAGTTTGCTTTTTATTCTTTTCACTTTTTAAAATATATACAGCAGGTTAAAATTATTTGTAATTGATTCCCTTGCTTTGATGTTTAGAAAGCCCTTTCTTAGTATAATTAGAGAGGAATTACTTATATTTTCTTTAATATTTTTGTGGCTTAATTTACTCAACTTCCTGGAATTGATTCTGGTATATTATAAAGACTTTTTTTAATAGTCCATGATTTATAGATCGAATGTTCATTGTCTTTAACATTAATGATGGTGTAAGTTCTGTTAGTATTCAAAATGTATTTACAGTTGATTCTCTTGGATTTTCTAATTAGAAAACTGTTTCCTAAACAACGGAACTTGGTTCCTTTGGCATCAGATCATACTTAGTGCTGCCATAGCATCCCCGTATTACCTTGGCGTGTGTTTGCACACAAAGCTCTGCATGTCCTTGTGTTCCGCTCCAGGAGCAGTACATTTTCATCCACCAGTGTGTGCAACTGATATGGATGAAGAAGAAGCAGCAGTTCTGCATCAGTGACGTCATCTACGAGAACGTTAGCAAGTCCTAGTTCAGAGTCCCACGCGGTAAGCAGGGAGGAGCCCATCGTGGGAGGGGGCATGAGGGGACACAACAAAGGGCCACAGCTGCCACCTGTGCTACCCTGGGCCCACGGAGGGGGCCTGTCTCTCCCAGCACAGGGACAGACAAACGCCACAGCAGATGTCACGGCTTCGGTGCGCCTTGGCTGACGGGCACTACGAAGAGGCTTCAGCCCTTCATGATGATCTGACTTATTTTCCTTCCACCATGAACCTTAAATTATTCTCATTTTGGCTCTGTGCCTGGAACATCAGGATATTATCACCATCCTATTTATCTAGACATTTTGTGTAATATTTTATTGATTATGAAGGTTCAAAAAGGATTACAAAGATGACATGAGCTGGAATCAACACCCCAAAGAAGAAAATATTGACAGTAGTTGAGGATGTCAGAGTCTAGAAATGCTCTGATCTTATCCATCATAAGCACTTCCTCGAGAACTTCGTGAATGCATGAGTAACATATTCAATGTCTTGTGCTTCAATTTGGACCAGGAGATGAGACTGTAGAGGTGTTTGTAATCTTGGCTGAAGTAAAAAGTAATCCACCTACTCAACTCGGTCAGCAGAGTGTGGAATGTGCCTGAATAAACTGATGGGGCAGAGCCACTGACAGGGTGGGGAGAAGGCAGGGGTGCATTGTGGGAGAAATATGGGAGCAGCAGCATATGGACCAGTGGGTGGCAGGGCAGGACTCGCATCCTGCCTTTACCTCCATCAAGAAGGCGAGGTGGGGAGCACAAAGAGGCAGGAAGGCAAAAGAGGAAGGAAAGACGAGTTTTTGGGTAGAGACATTCAGATCCACAGAAAGTAGGAATTATGCCCAGGTAGATGCCCAGATAAACGACAGCCACCTGGGCTGGGGGGGTGGTGAGTATAATGAGAGCTAGTGGTGGAGTCTGAGGAAGTTGCAGCTACCAGGCTGCCAACGAGCGGCTCTGCCCTCCCAGGCTGCTCACCTTTTCTCTCTCGTTCACAGGACAGGACACGGTGTGCACCCCTCCTCCCTTGCTTCCGGAGTTTGGGAGGGGGGCCTGCTAGCCATTTCACCGAAAGGAGCCCCTGCTTTGTAATATGTAGCCAAGGAGATCATTTATCTCGTACAAGCACTGGGAAAACAGCCTTAAAGAGACCTACAGTGTCTTTCGGACTCTTTCACGTCTGGACATTTAATAATGGACCAAACTCAACTGAACACTGATAGGTCCAGATGCTCTGCAAAGGGCGGGGAGTACAGCCTCTTCTGAAGAGTTTCATTGGCCCTTTGCTGGTTGGGCTGAGTTTCTGTTTGTTGTTGTTGTTGTTTTTGAGTGCAATAGTTTTTGTATTGTGTGACTTTATCAGGAAGTGGAATTCTCTCCTGCCCACACAACTGATTAACCCCACAGCCCAGGAAGGAATAGGCATTGTTACCCTAAAATTATACCTCACTGTTAACAAGAGGCACGGCCACATACAGAGAAATGGTAATTCTGCTTCACGAAAACTGAACCAGCGATACCTGCACCCCGACATTAAGCTACTGGGTCAGGAGCAGGGAGGGTGAAAGTGGGAAGAGAGCCGAGTTCCACCCAGTGATCAGCCACCTTTCTTTCCCAAATATGAAAAGCTGTAATTCAGCTTCCAAGTAGAGTAGAAAAAAAATGATTTAAGTCTTAATTGTTCTAGTTCCTGATGGTTTTCTTCTGCATTAACCGTTAGGTGTTTCTTCTGTGGCCCTTTTGGGCTAATGTCACAGCCGGGTTCCTTCTCAGCAAACCAGATCTGACTCAGGGGAGTCGGAAGTCCGAGCGACCCCGGTGCCTCGACGTGGCATCCCGTTCTCTGCTGACCTGCACACACGGAAAGCTTTGTCTGTGAGAACTATACTGGATGTGAAAATGCACTTTCTTTCCCCCAAACAGCTGGGAGTGTATGAACTGATGGCAGTGACCTGCAGCATGCTAGCACAATGACTTGACTCCTTTTTTTTTTTTTTGGTATACTGTCAAGTGTCATTATGAATTTCAACGGAGATTTCTTTTTGCTTCTGTTTTTTTTCCTTTTTCTTGGTTGTCAGTTTTAACCACTGTAACTAGTAACACTGTATCCCATTCTTTAGATTTTGTATAATTACAGTACACGATTGTGGATTTGACATGAGTGCTGCCAAAACGGACATTGACGGCATTGTGAAGCCTGTTACTTTGTGTCCCTTCCTGAGAAATAAGGGGTGACAGTATGGATCTACAAAGGAAAACATTTTGAGTGGAGAGTAAACACAAGCTGGCCGCCTCGCCATGGCGGCGTGGCTGTCGTGAGCCTCCCCGCGCGGGCTTCAGCAGGCCTGGCTCCTCTCTGCATTTCAGATCACGGCCCTCGCCCTGGCTTCCCTCCATTCCCCATCATCTTCAGGAAGCCGTGCACGTAGCATCAGATTAACATTTTATCAGTGACCTTAGTAATGGTGAAGGATGCCAACTGAACAGCTCTGCACCCCACGGTCTCTTGTCACTGAGAATACCTGGCCACAGCAGGCCCTGGCGCAGTTCTCCCCCAGTGCTGGCCAGCGAGGCTAAGGCTCGCCTTGCAGGGGGAGGGCGGGGGGGGGGGCAGAGGAAGGGCAGCACCCCCCCCCCCCCCCCGCATGCCAGGAACAGCCTGGGCTCCTCGGGCTTGTCAGTTCCACTCACCTTCCTTCCTCACCTTCTTGCCTCACCGCCACCACCCCCTCTCCCCACTCCCACCCTTTACTTCCCTTCTTGAACATGTTGATAACGTATTACTCTTCTCTGGTACGCACACTGCTCAAGAAAGGGGGCGAATGGATGTGCCACATTCTTAGATTTTCACACAGGGATGGTCGGAAGGGAAGCTTGCCACCCTGGGTGAGCTGACTGGATGCAAGGCTGTGCTGGAATACATTTCCAATTTCCGTAGACGGGAACGTTACTTCCCCTGAAACTTAAAGCACTTCATAAATATTTCATGTTGGTCTTGAGCGCCCCTTCACGGTAGGGATCAAATAGTACCAGATCAGTTTTCCCAAAAGAGAAGATGAAGCGTCCAGACTTCAGACTGAAGACTCCGAGCTTAGGCTGCAGGAAGGTCACACTGAAGCACTTTCCTGGGCCACCCCATCAGGGCCTCATCCCTCGGTCTGGGTCACGGTTCCTGCACTGGTACAAGGTGCACCTCGGTTTGTGAGCTCAATGGTGGGAAAAGCATCAACCTGTCAGAAGACTTGCGTTTTAATCTTGACAGATGACTTTGGAAATTCAACTCTGCCGAGTCTCAGTCAATAAACTTTTGAAAAACCTAATAATAGCTCTGTATTTTGAGGGTGTAGGAGTATCAGACATGATAATTTCCCCAAAGGTGCTTTCTGTCTTGTTCTCTTGTGCCCCCTAAAGCCACTTTACCAGCTTAATTTCCTCTGCAGGACTTAGTTTCAAACAGTCAGAGGGGAGGCTGCCGGGGCCTCTATGATCATTAGTTTTTAAACGCATCTCAGCAGTGTTTTTCTCACTGTTGCAAAGGCATCAGAACATGCACTTCATACCAGTCTGCATGGTGCAAAGCCCATTTCTGAACTTAACTGAAAAACTACCACCAGGGTCTGATTTATAAATATAATTAGTTAAATACCAATATATCCATCACTGCAGATTATATAAATTTACTTAACTTGAAAAGGAAAGAAAGTGATAGAGGAGAGCTTTTTTTTTTTTTGGATAATGTTCTAATTCTGGGTTTACAGTTTGCCACTACAAAGTCAGCATTGCCTCAACTCCCCTAGATTTAAAATTACAACAGTAAGATTTTTTAGATCTCTCATAAAACCTATTTAATCTTTTATAAAATTTTCAATCAGATTGTATAATGCCCCCTTTTTTAAAAGCTGCCCCTGCCTCTTACGAGGTGTGTATCTCCTCAGGCAGGCTGCGGTGTCGGTGCGCAGAGCAGGGGCTGGCGGCTTTGGCTCTGAAGTTTTTGCAGACCATATGATAGCTGCTTGCGAGAGGGCTGGACCTTAGCCAAGGAGTTAAAGTTACTGAACCCAATCTCTCAGAGCCAAAATCCTCCCTGCTTTCTAGCAAGGAGGCCTTCCTCTCCACCTCGGGAAATGTCTGATGTAATGTGCTTCAAATGAGCTGGCTCGTTTCCTAGCTCGCAGATCACTAGTCTGGCACCTGGCACAGGCTCAGAGTCCGGAGGCCACACCAGGGACTGAACACAACACCTACCTCGGCTAAAGGGGTTACAAAGCAACAAAAGTACAACACGTGTGAAAACTGCAACTGTCTACCCCCTGGTGTCTTAGCAGCCCCATTTGGATGCACTAGAAGGAAACTTAAGCCGGGACATCTCGGACGCCTGGCCTTCCAGCATCCATTGTAACTGATGCTCATCACAAGGCCTGGTCCTGCAGAGTCACTCGATTACAGATGGGGTATAATGTTTAGCTCTGGGAGTCGTATTATAAGCAGGACATTAACAAACGGAGGGTTGTCTGGGACAGAGTCACGAGAACCATCAGGGATGTTGAAAACAAGGGGTCAGAGTGACAGCACCTGGGAAAAGTGGGGGTGTTAAGACTGGAGTAGATGAATTCGTTCATTCATTCGGTCACTTATTGTACAAATATTTATTGACCATGCTGAATCTGTCCATCCATCCACCCATCAATCAATAAAAGGATTCTCTGCTACATGCAGTACAGGAGGCACTACAGAAGTACACATGGTGCTATGAGCTGATTTTTAAAAATATGTTATGGAATCAAAGTTGCATTGCTGTTTTTGAAAGGACCCCAAAACTCTTCTTTTCCAAGACCTGGTACCACTTTCTAGACGAGCTGTCCCAGGCTGGCCTGGCCTCCTGCTCCAAACAGGGCCCTGCTCAAACACATGCCTGGCAGACGGCTCATTCTTTTCTGCTGACCAGTCCCAGTATGTGGCACTGCCACCTCACAAGGCAGCCCATCCCTGCATTTGTCAGGGTGCATTTCCTTCCGTTTGCCCAGCTAAGGACCTCACTAGCATCGAGGACGTAGGCGTCCGTGCTTCTCGTGGATGCGGCTGGAAGCCCTCGTCCACTTCCCCATTGGGGTGACAGGGCGGCTGCTCTGAGCAGGCCACCACCCAGGGCATGACACTCAGTCATTACGCGAAAGCTGCCCAGAGCTTTAAACAGAGCCTGGTTCTTCTTGTAGCCATTACACATGACTCCCAGGGGAGTGAAGGTGTTTTATTTTTCTTCTAATGTGATAAGCTCTTTATACACCTACTCTCTGAATTTCTTAAGAACACCCATACAACAGGTGAAGAAGTGAAGAAGCAGTTAGGTTAAGTAAGATATGACCACCACTGGGGAGTCTAACACCGCTCTGTCTGGCCAACCTCCCCCCACAACAAACAACCCTTTTCCCCACCACTTCATGCTGCTTCTCATTCATATTTATGATTGGTAAACTAAAATACAGTAGAATTAACAGCTTCATTTTAGGTAACAAATTTATTGTAGAAGGTAACTTTTCATTGTGGGAAATATTACATTTCTAACCCTCTAAGAAAATAACTTTACTGAACACCCACGTCAGGGAGTGCAGGAGGGCTGGGGAGTGAGGGGGGATGAGACCGGTCCTGCTTCCAGAGGTGACATTCTGGTGGGGGAGCCAGAAGTGAAATGAAGTGTCTCGGGTACTGTGACAGAAACACAGAACACATCCAATGTGGGCCCAAGAGAAGCACAGGGGGATTTTTCCCGAAAGGCCCTGGAAAGACTGTGGTGCCACGTCAAAGTGTCAGAGACTGCGGCGCCACACGAGGTCATGCTGACGACGGTGAGCACCCACTCCTGCCTTCGGCAAACACTCATCCAACACCTGCTGCCGCCCTCCCGGGGCCCACGTGGGCGGCTGCACTGTCTGCCCTGCCCTCCGATGCTCTTTGTCCTGCTGACTCCAAAGTGAAAACATCTTTCCAGGCCCCGCAGATGCTCACATGTTACTCAGCAGAAGCTGCTCGATTTATCATCACTGCAAATATCACGGTGCACATCAGGGCTACGCTTCCCAGCCCCTCAAAGTCACTTCTGGTTAAAGCAGGGTAGGCAGCAGTGACGCCATGCCCTGGCCCCCACTCGGCACCCAAGGAGCCGCCTTTTATTTGCCTGCCTCTTCCCACCCCTAGCAGAGACTGGTGCTGAAAAGACAGGTCCGAGTCACTACCTGGGGGAGGAACCCCTGCCTTCACGGGCCCGATGCAATCAAGTGACAGATTTCTATCACGTTGACTTGCACATTCTGGTATTGTGGGCCATGGCAGTCAACCTCCCTTAACTCATACGGCTGCAAAAGGACACCTTTACAACTATGTTTGGCCCCAGTTACAGTAGAAGTTTTTCAGGGCAGCGGTGTGTGACTGTCTAACAAAATTCCCAGACAACAGGTTGAAGGTGAAACAGACTGAGCCGGGCTACCCCACAGTGCACACAAGGTCTCCAGAAAAGGCCACAAGATAAAGAGGGGGTCCTTTTAATAAATAAACTTTTCTATTAAATATATGCATTCTTCCCCAGAAGTGGATTTCCTCCAAGTCAGAGTTCCCCTCTTGTTTTTCTTGTCCCTTTCCAAACCCCACAACAAGACCATTGCTTAAGCCACTCGCTAGAATGTTTTAGCCTTACGCAAGGTTCCTGGCTCTGACTCAGAGTCCTGGATTCCTGTGAACAATAGGCCCCACAGTGGTTTCACATCAGTAAGAGCCCAAACGTACAGGAGGCCAAGAGGCTTGGCATGTGGATGACGCTGAGCAAGCCAGGCCTTTGGCTTGTGTGCCATGGTGAGTTCCAGGGCAGGGACAGGAGTCCAAAGCTACTTGACACAAAATAGTTTTGTGCAGGTTTAAGAACACCACCAAGTCCAAAGGGCTGTTTCAACTAGGAAGAGTCAACTGCAACCATTACTGCCTCTACAAATACAAACCAGAACAGTCTTGGAATGGTTCCTTTATGTCCCAAACCAAACCAGACCACACCTTCTCGTAACCAGTGACCTTGGGCAGCAGTATGCACAGGGCCCAGTGGTGGAGCTGCTCAGGGCAGGTTAGGATGAGGGACTGGGTGGGGAAAGATCTGAGCTGAGACCGCACCTGACTGTGACTCAGTGGTCTCATCTGTGAAATGGACGCAGTGATGATAGCTTCCTCACAGGGCTTCAGGAAGGTAAGAGAGATAATGTGTCAGGGACTACAAACTATATGTGGAGTAACCTAGCCTATTATATCACACGGCTCCCCGGTACAAGCAAACCTCCCACAGTCTCTGAGGAACATCTTGGAATTCTTGAAGAAATTTTGAAGGAATTTTGAAGAAATTTGGAATTCTTGAAGACCTCAGAACAGAAAGGAGGTGCAGCCTGTGACCCAGAGTGGACTCTGGAGTCTCAGGCAAGTGGTGCCAAAGCAGGAGCTGAGCCTCTAAATCAGAGTCCTGGGCTGCCCAGGCCTGGCTTTCTGCTTTGACTCTCTATTGTCAAGTGCACCAGTGACGTGTGTGCTTTGTATTCCTCACACACAACCCAGGCTAGAGGGTTTCCCAGACAAGCTATGCCAGCGCCCGTTTCGGATTCAGTAAAAATATCTGCAATCGTGCAGGCAGTCTGTGCAAATTCGCTGCACTGACACTGTCTGACAAGCAGGCTACTTGTTCTAAGACAAAGAGCTAATCTGCACAAATGGTAATACATAAGTCAGCCTGCATGGGGTTAAGAACATAAGCCTGGCGTGAGCAGGCACCACTTGTGAACACCATGTAATCCCGCTCTGAGCCAGTTTCCTTGTTCGTAAGTGGGAATAAGAAGTGCTTCCTCCACAGGGTTGCACTAGGGATGAAATGTAAAGCCCCTGGCATGGTGCCTGGTGGTTTGAGGATGTAGGTAACACCCTTGGAGAGTACAGACTTTTGAATCACAACTGCTGTGCTCTGACTCTTAGGAGCAGTGGTCCCTAGAGAAGTCACCTACTATCTTTTAGCCAAGTCTTCCCACAAAAGAATAAAGGAGCATCTACCTTGTGGAGTTGTGGTAAAATATAGAAGTGGATGTGCGAAGCACCGGCTGAAATTCAGTCAGCAGGAAGTGATGATGCACAATCCCCTGCCTCTCAGCACAGTTAGACCACCCAGCCTTTCCACTCCCTCAGCTCCGAGGCAGCTCCAGGGCGAGCGTGCCCACGGGATCCGGGGTCCCCCATGGGTGGACACGGGGCCAAAGCCTGCTCCCCAGAACAGGGGCAGCAATGCTCTGTGCT